CTCTCTCTCTCTCTCTCTATATATATATATATATATATATATATATATATTTCTATCACAAGGCATAGGCTCGGAGGGAAGCAGTACGGCACGGCACGGCGGCCCGTATCCCGGCCCGGTTCGGGAACACCTGGAAGGCATGAGGTGGATGATGGGGGAAACTGAGTCAGGCCTCGTGATTCGTGCCATAAAATAACAACAGAGGCCGATGGGCTCTCTCGTCCTTTTGTCCCCTCCATGTAATCATTTCCGGACATGCATTTCCCCACCACCGCTCCATACCCGCCCACGTAAACACTCTCCATATTCTGTGCTATTTCCTCCGTTTCCTTTTTGGTCCCGTCCCTTCGATATCCCTTATTTACATTTCAGTCCCTATAATGAGTCTTATGATTTTTGCAAATGAGCCCTTAGTAATTGTATTTATTGGGATTATAGTTTTCTGAAGGCTATGAATGTGCGTATAAATAACAGACCTGCGACCCTCTCTCTGCTTCTTTTGCTTTCTTCTCAGGCTATTGGATCTCTCTCTCTCTCTCTCTCTCTCTCTCTATCTATTCTTTCTCTCCACAAGCTTCCAAGAAAGAGGAATTATATGGAAAGTGAGAGATCGTGAAGACCACAGCCGGAGGAGTCACCTGTCGACATACTCTCTCTTGCTGCGACCTCCTCCATGCGCGTTTCGTCCTCGCCCGCCTCGATCGCTACCCGTTCTTATCCGGCTTCTGCTTCGTCTTGAGCTGGTCGATCGATCGACCGGAGGGGAATCGGGGTCGGGACCATGGTGTGACGCGATGGTCCCTGCTAGGAACCTCCTCCGGCGGCACTGTGACTCCTACGGGGCTTGCTTCTCCGGTGGGGACCCTCGGTTCCATGATTTGGACGGCTTGTCTTCGTTGAAGCTGAACAAGTTGATGGCTGACGAGCCCTCTCCGGCTCCGGAAGACGAGCAATTCGGGCGCGACGACGGCGGCTCCGGAGACTGGCTCCAATTAGGTTTGGGGACTCCTCCTCCCTTGGTTCCCACGGACGCGGCGCCGGGAAGGACGGCAACGACACAGCTCGAGTTGTTCTCCGCTCGGCCGTCCTCTTCGGCGTCGCCCGGGCCCGGTACGTGCCCTGTTGCTTGGCCGGGGGTCAGCGGCTTCCGTGCTCCGATGATGGGGATGGCGATGACGATGGTGCCGTGGATGAGTCACAGGCGGGAGATGCCATGGGGGCGTTGCAATCCTAATCTCGCCATGGGCGGTAGCTCAGCGACGACGACGCTGCCACCGGTGATGCCGGAGTTCGTCGCACGACAGTTCGTGTACCCCATACCAGGCTCAGCGACGCCGTCAGGCCCAGAGGTTCTGCCGGAGATGAGGGTTGTCACCCCGCCGAGACGACCGCAATCGGGTGTGTGGATCATGCTTCAGGCCGCGAGAGATCAGTAAGTCGTACTTGTCTTCGTCCCACCAAAAAGATCAGAAAGCACGCCTCTTCTGCTTGTTCTTCTTCTCTTCATTTCTTGTTTCTATTAACCGTTGTCTTTAACATCATGTTTCTTCTTATTTTCCTTTCTATTCTTGGAATCGCTGCAGAGGGAGGGAGCCTTTTCTGCCTCAGATACCCAGGAGCTACTTGAGGATTAAGTACTTCCAACTCTCTCTCCCTCTCTCTCTCTCTCAACACGATTCCCTATTTGAGCTGCTTTTAGATGCTATATTTGGAGCTCATCATATTACTGTTGAGGTTTTCGGCTTTGGGGTTCTCATCTTGCATAGCTCACAGGGACGGGAGGATGACAGTGGGGTTGCTGATGAAGTACTTGGTGAACAAGCTGGGTTTAGAGAATGCACACGAGGTATTATACTCCGACTACTCTATGCATGCCACTACTTATATTTCTTTGCTGGTCATGGCCAAGACGAAGGCATTTTAAGGTCACCCATGGTTTCACCAAAATGCAAATGCTACCAGCCACCATGGAGAGGGCCGGGCATGGTTTCTTGGCACTTTCCTGCCCTAATTCCCAGGGTTGGTGTTGGGATGGTGAAAGGAACCTGGGAGCTAAAAAGGGTACATAGAAATGTGGGATTCTAACTTTTGTAGTTGCATGACATTAGGTGGGATGTGAACGTCTGAGTGGCGTATCATTGCTCATCACCACGAGCAGACCTCTCCCAAGCTTTTATCCTGGGCACTGTTTGGGTTGGAACATGGGTTGCCCTCCCCAGCTCTGTTGTGTTGATGGCCGTAAAACCCCAGTGGTTTAACCCATCATGGCAAGAAAACCTTTTCTATATGTAGGCTTTTCATGCCATAAATAGGACAGACATACCTAAGAAAGGCAGTCTTTTAGATGCAAGAGCTTCATATATATATAAAACCTTGCATGCCATGCTTCCCTTATGGGTCGGGGAAGCCAATGGCTTCTCAGTATCATCTCATCCTGTGGATGTGCTACTGGGCATTATTGTCCTTCCCGGTTGGTTGCTTGTGACAGCCCTAATAGCCATCTTTCACCTACCTTTGCTGAAAGCTATGCGCTATCCTTACATGAATGAACCCAACTGCAGTGTTGAAGTTACATGGACGGCACCCTTTCACCCACGAAGGATATCTCCTTCTCATCATGATGTTAGATCTTGTTTGTGAACTTGGTAGAGGCTTGTCTACTTAGCAGATTCCATCAAGCTCAACATTTACTCCATATCTTTAGAGTGCAGCTACCAGTTTCCTCCTTTGATGCTTTCACAATTTAATTCAAAACCCAGGGTGGTAATCTCCCTTGCGATGGATACAGTTCATGCATCATCTGTCATTATGTCCAACAGAATGTAGCAATTAACACTTTTTTGTGTGATCTTGTGACTATGATCAGCCATTAGATAGTTTGTGATTGTGGTATTTCTCATGCTGGTGTTTCCTAGTTTGAGTCGAACCATCCATTTCATCTTCCAAATCCATTTCATTACTAAGGATGCATTTAAGCTTGATTAGGCTGCAAACTAGCTGTAAAATGCTATATGCTTGCTAACCTGACTTGATCATTTAGGTCTTTGCTGACAGTCGGTCATGCATGACATACATGTAATACAAAATCCAATCTTCCATATTGGAAAGAGCAAATAGGATTTACTGCTTCATTATCTTCTGCATTTGTAACAAGTGAATTAGTCTTTCTCTCACCTAATTTTCTAAGCAATTTCATTCAACAGAGACTATGATATTTTTTGTTTCGATTTATCTTCCAGTTGATATATTAATCTTACACTCCTCCGAAGAAATAAATTTTGCGACACGCCACAGCTGTACATCTTTGTGTATTGATCAGCCATCCTTGAAACTACAAATCTTTTTTGGCCTCAATTCTATTATTCCACTTTGTTTGGAGAATTCATAACTAGAACTGAATCCTTATCTTTTTCACCCCAAATTAACTGTACCCTTTCACAAGATCAGATTTCCAACACTCATGCTAGACCTATGCTGTTTTGCAAACATTAGCATATGGGAGAATCTCATCTATTAAAAGATGTGAGATACACATACAAGTCTTAATTCTTTTGTTTTGTTTGCTTGTCATTGTATTTTCCAAGTTCTTTGGTGCCTAAAATCTCATCCTATTCATATATGCAGTTTTTCCTTTCTGAACAGTATTTATAGAGATGTCAACATATTTCAATTCAAACCTAAATAGGTCCAGTCTAGTTAAAGTCAGCCAAAAATTTCATGCCATTTGAATGAAGCTTGCAATCGCAAAGGTCTTGCACATCATCTACATATTGTTTATTTCGGCTGGACTTGTTGTATTAGGACTCAAAAACCTAAGATACTAAATCCTGATGTATGTTGCTGAATTGGTGACATGCAACTTACATGCTGTTTGTATGAGGCCAACTGTGTGCCATTGGTTGACTAGATTTCTCCTTGTTTCCCGCTATGAATTAGCAAGCTAATGATATAAGGTTAGAAGAGAATAAATGCTTTGGTGCATAGAACAGTGCATGGCTTCTCCTTTCCATGCAATGCTGATGGTCTCATGCTTTCGCGGGGCTGTCATCATGCTGTGGCCTTGTGGTTAGGTCCTACGAGGCGGAGAATTCTTGTTAAGAGGTGACATCAAGGGTTTAAGTGGTGCACTTGATGAGAATATGAATGAGAGGGCCCATTGGTGGCAATACGTATGTGTGTGCGCGCGAGAGCGCGCATCATAGGCTTTGGAGTGAAGACGAATGCATGGAGTGGGGACTCCATGGCCACAAATAGAATCATTCCCCTAGTGGTGAAGACGAAGTCATGAAAGCACGATAGGAGGGGGGGGGGGGGGGGAAAGCGGAGGACCACGCCCTTCATCTCCTCCACCAACTGTGCCTTCCATGTCTCAGTAGCTTATCCGTGGAAGATGTGCATGGGGAAGCTCTGCTACACCGTAGGGTTTCCCACCATTATCTTCCAGCAAGAGAATGTTGACCTGCTTTAGGCTTCTAAGCAAAGGGGATGTGTGGGGTTTCGTATATAGAAAATAGCAGACAACGTGAGAAGACGTGCATGCAGTTTTTTTTGTGTGTGTGCGCTGTATGTTCCTGTTAGGTAGAGAGAGAAAGAGAGAGAGAGAGAGAGAGAGAGAGATGAGATAAATAAATGAGAATGATTCCTCGGCGTGCTTTTCGGATCAGCCTTCTCTTCCAGCCTTAATAATTACAGCAAGTGTGTGTTCGTGTACGGAGCAAAGCTTGCTGATGAATTAAGTGGAGGTGCACGCAATAAGATGTGACATTGGAATAAGGTACGTCTAATATATGATATAAAACCAATGATGCGTGCTTTATGATGAGGATTACAAAGGAGAGTGCAGTTATGGGGAACAATGATTGATCGTATATGTGCTTCTAATCACTCTTAATTAGTCTGTCTTGCTTGTGCGAGAATTCGGTAGATGTGAGAACCGTAGATAGATAAATTATACGAGTGAGTGGTGGTTTCACATCATTCAAATTTTCTTTTATATCATCTTAATTTCGTTAAATTTAAATCTCACTTCGGATATATTAAAATAAATTTAGAAATAAAATATCATTATAATCTCTGATGACCCGACGACACGTACTGCTATGCTTTGTGTAAAATATCAACGACCATTATCCTATTAGGAGTAGCCATAATGATGGATCAAACTGTTGAAGATTCCTGTGGTTGTGCTTCTTAGACATCGTTGCTTGGTCTGTGCTTGGTTTAAGAGACTGTCACGTCAACGTGCAACCCTTCCATGTTCTTGAATCAGGTGGAGATCACGTGCAGAGAACAGCTGCTGCTACCCTTCTTGACGCTGCTGCACGTCCGGGACAACATATGGCGGTCGAGGGAGGAGACGACGACGACGACGACGCTGCTCCGAGATTCGGGCAGCGGCACGGATCACGTCATGATGTTGCAGTACGGCAGGAGTGCGTACACGGAGGCTCGATCGCGCGCGTGAATCGTTCCCCCTCCCTCCCCCTCCCCCCCTCCGCGCTGCAAGTTTTGTTCACCGTCTTCTGGTCGTCATCACGTTTGTTTCTCGTCATCTTGATTCGTTGAGAAAACAGCTTGGGGGTAATGAGATCTTTGAGGAGGACAACATCAAACTGTTGTGCTTCCAATCTACATGTTAGATTGATATATTTTTTCTTGGTTTTGTTGTTTCTTCTCATCATCTCACAATGCATCATCTCAGGTTTCCATGAATCGCCGTCAGAAAAATGTATAAAGAACACGCAAATTGCACCTCCAATTGATTGATGATATAAAGGATTCAAAGATCATCCTCTCCCCGGTTCTGTGTACTTAAAAAGCTAGTGATGGAACACAAAGTTGAATACATACATACATACGAGTATTCTTGTCGTGCTTCACATCAGGGAAATCATCTCACACGACCAAATAATTCCAGAACCGAGTAAATCATGGAACTTCTCCATTCATAACACCAAGGCATAACCTCTAGGCAAGAATATAGTTCTGGTACAACATCCTTTGTCATGGTCTAAAGAAGCCTGAAATGTGCTGTATCGTTGAGGTCCTTATCTGCCATCCTTTTCTCTGTGAATGATGTAGGGCTGTACGGAAGAATCATCAAACCGGGACTGCATTAAGCCAGCTGGGCCGGTGAGAAGACGTTTAATTGGAATTGCATGAATGAACATCCCAATGGAAAAGTTGAGGTTTCCACAGCCACCCAGGAGGAGGTTTCATCGAGTTACTTCTCTGTTGGAGAACTCTTTGTGTATCTTGTCATCATTACGACTTACAAACTGAAGTTTGCTATTACCAGATCTTTACCTCTGGAGAGCTGGTCGATCAAGGGTGTAAAGAAGATCCTCAAGGGAATTAGCTCGTCTGTTACGTGAGAGCTCTTTCGGCTCATTTTGATCGATTGATGTATTAGCTACTGCCAACTTTTCAGGCAATCAGAAATTCAGTGATCCGAAGCACCAGCTACCTAAGAGATTCTCCTGAAACTTCTGACCGATTGCAAACAAAGCATCAGACAAATTGATAAGTAATCCACCAAAATGGAAATATTGAGTACTGCATCTGAAAACTATCCAAAATATACTAGAAGCATGATTAATGGTTTCTTGCCAAGTGCATTCATACCATACACCTTGATGGAGATCCTGGCACCTTGCAAATAAATTTAGGCATGACACCTTCCAAAAATTGGCCCACCCATATGTTGACACCTTTTGGCATATATTGGCATGACATGTAATCAGACACATTGTACATTTTGATGCGTGTCGACATGGGGCAATCAGCATGACAATCCTCATAAGGACGATATTCTCTTAAAGGATTAAGCAAAGTTGGGAGTGAAGCGTTATTGAAAATAAAATGAAGTAGGACCAATTAGGAATTGACCTGCACATGTTGTCAGGCCACGATCTAATGGTGCCATGACTTGGATAAAAATAGTGAAACTCAACCTGCACTATTTTTCGAACTGTAAATATGGGTATATTTACATGTCAGTAGCAACTGTTAATTAGGTGGTCCTATCCTGTATCAGAAGCAACCAGTTCTATCATCTTTAATCCTACCTCAACACACTTATTTTTTAAGTTAAAGTAGTCCCAGAAGGCAAGTTAAAGTTCACTTATAACAACAAGATAAAACCACCTGTTGTTTCCTTTATGTACAAGTATCCTACTTAGGAAGGCCAAAATATCAAACGAGTTCATTATACAAGGAGGCATGTCATTTAATATTGCACATGAAGATTTTAGGTGAAGAGGAAAAAAAATGTAGTCCTTACCTCAACCCTTGTGTCTGTTCCTACCAACTCATTTTTCTAGTTTCTCAGTTACCTCATCTTTAATCCTACCTCAGCACCCTTATTTTTAAGCTAGGGAGTCCCAGAAAGGTAGTTGAAGGTGGTTTAAAACAAGAAGAAAAAACCACCTGTTGCTTCCTTTTATGTGCAAGTGTCCTATTTAGGAAGGTTAACATATCAGAGGATCTCATCACACGAGGAGGCATGTCATTCAGTATTGCACATAAGGATTTTAGGTGAAGAAAACAAAAATGATGTGGTCCTTTCTTCTACCCTTGTCTCTGTTTCTGCCAAACTCAATTTTCTAGTTTCACATAGTTATCCAACTTTTTTGGTATAACAGTAGTCTTATAAAATTTACAACTTTTCATCTTCCCCAGAATAGCTCTTTGTATTAAGATATTATTTGAACAGCAACACATGAACGCTTCTATTATGCATTTATTTTGCACCAATCAACCTAATGCCTCTTCCATCTATATACAACCACTCAACAACTTATAGCGCTTTTATTTTGTCGATCATAACAACAATGTAAAACACGTACTTACTCCCATAGTTCAGGTTAAACAAGTTAACTTCAAAACTAAATATACTAAACAGCCTTTGTTAACAGTGGACACATACAAAAGAAAAAGGTCTACTCTCAAAGTTAGCAGTTAAAGATTTACTCAACTTAGTAATACATTTAGGTCGTCTGTTGCAAATGAGGTGTCCTACACACAATCAAAATGCAGAATATAACCTAAGTGAAGCTTTATAGAAATCACAGACCAACGGTGATGAGATTGTTAAAAGCATGTGTTCTTCAGGTTTCAATTATCAGTGGCTTCCAGGTTGTTCTACTATCCATGTGGGGATCAGGCAATCGCAAACACAATACAATCAGACTTATATCATGTTCTTCGGATGTTCTCGTTCCTGGAGCATTGGAAGTTTGAACAGAATTGTTTGACTTTTCCATCATCAATTTTTAGGAACAAAGTTAATCAGAAAGCAGGAAATAACAAGAAGATATATCTAAGATCAAAGTGATCCTTAAAGTCTTAACCACAAGACTAAGCCAATGGTCAAATAAAAGGAAGAGAAACAAATGAGATGGCTGTCATACCCAAAAGCACCAACCTGAGCTGGAGATAATTCATGTCATGCTTAAAGCAGGCCAAAAAGACTTTTGGAAGGCAAGAGGCACTTAATTATAGATAGAGATAGCACATTCATGTTAAACTATATTTCGACCAATCAGAAATGATGAAGTTTTGGTTCTAGATACTTTAAAAAAGGAACAGAAGCTCCACAGGGGACTGCTTGATAACCGAATATATTTATTGGCTTGGCCTCGATCCATTACTAGGATGTGAAACCCAGAATTTGGTTATACTCAAATAAGGATACACAAGCAAGACTTAGTTAGGTTAGCTTCCGACTGTTTCAGAACCAATGTCATATACAACAGTGTAGTGACAAAGATTAATAGCACGCGAAGCTAATTTTCTCGTTAATCTAAGATCTGGTGTTACAATGATCATTTCACGGGCAATATACTTGTAAGGGAATAACCGAAGTCTAGAAGCAGCAGATGATACTTCTAAGGGAATAACCGAACTAGCTGGTGTTTTTCCCTCAATCCAACCAAAAGAAGGCATACGTTCATATGCACTGTCTGACAGAGAATTTGATGTTTTAACTAATTCAATTAATTAATAGATGGGAATAGTAAATCCATCCACATTCAGTTATATTATTATGGAATGTCCATAATTTGCTGACAAAATCCCCATTTAAGAAGACAAAGGTAGAAGGAGCAGATAAAAAAAAGGACATAACTGGAACCAAAATTTTTCTAAGCTGCTGCGGTAAAAGCCAATAATTGAAGACTTCTGGAAACTGAATTGAACATAAATTTAAGGATCTTATTTAAATCGATTGAGGAACACTATAACAAAGCGAAGGATAACTGAAGACTAGATATCTACCTAACAACAAGTCGATCTAAAGACAAAGAGGAAGTTAAAATGAATTCAACAGCAAAATCTAAGCAATGAAAGGAGGAATTTACCTGGCAAGAGGCCGCAGTGGCCCTCGCCCAATCCAAGGGCGGGAGAGCTGTAGACCTTATCGAACCTCACGCCGACTTTAGGAAGACGGCCAACGCGCCGGCCTGCGGCAACTGCCGGCCACCGACCAGTTCCGGACGGAGACGAACGGCGCACTCACGTGGGCGATCAAGAGGATTTCCGTGACCCCCTTCGCGATCTACAGCGGATTCGGAGGCTGCGCCGCTGAATAAAAGCGCCAGGGGGGGGCGGCGGCGACGGGAGGAGGAGGACGTTGGAAGGATTCTTGACCCTTGATGGAGGGGCCGAACAGACAGAGGGGCACCGACGGTCAAGGGCTGGGGGAAGAGCGGCGAGGCGGCAGCGCAGCAAGGGAGGGTCTCACGCTCTTGCTCGAGGGCCTTCTCCTCGGATGGGATAGGGTTCCCGGAGAGCACAACCCCGGATCGAGACGGAGGCCATGAGGCACGAGGAAGACGGCGATGCTACTACCCCATCGTGAGAGATTAGGGGCGGTGGAGAGGACGGCAGTTGAGGAGCACAAAGAACGGTTCCCACCGCGCCACCCATTTATACTCTATGGCAAGACATAGACGATTCCCTCAGTGTTACGTTCGACCCACTCAATTTTGGATTTGGTCCACGTCATAAGAATTTGATTTTCTCCCATATATCTATCTTTCAGGAGACTTTAAATGTTTATGACATGAAATATAAGCTGAGTTCTCAGGAAAAATGGTTCATCATTTTGGGTTTTTTAATCAACTAAATACAATAGACAATAAAAGTTGTAAGTATCCAACACGTACAATCCTACATAAGATAGGGGAAAACTGAGTAGAAAAGAAATGAACAAATTTTGAGGAGAAAAGACTTTAAAAAAACTTTAGAATATGCAAGATGATGCTAGTTAAAACTCCAACAATCATCTATCAATTCAAGTGGCGTTAGATATTTGAAAGACTAGCACATAATATGAAAAGTTTATTCCTTCGTTTAAAGGATTTGTTGAAACCAATAAAGATCAGTACAACTTGATCGATCTTACACAAAAGTCAGAGTTATTAACGAGTTGAAGCAGCATGGTAGATCAAAGTTCGGTTACTCAACAACAACAACGGAATGTCGTTGGGATCCATGAGGCACGTTGCAATTGAAGTAAAATATTAAAGATTTCACAAAGATGAGGAGAAGTAATATTGGTAAAGGCTCGATATCGAATGAATAAGTGGGGGAGAATGTCACGAACAAAATTATAAATAAGTTATTCGATATAATACTTATATGTGTTTATGTACTTCGGTTTTGTTCATGCTTTGCACAAGTACGTAGAGAACTTACAATGAGTTTAGTAGCCCAATTTTGATTGATTTTTATGGATGTTTTAAGCTTGTATATAATTAACACGTAGAAACAATTGTATATAATTAACACGTAGAAACAAAACTTATCAAAAATAGACTATCTAGGTATCATTTTGGGGGCTTTCTAACTTTAAAGAGTAGTGCAAAATGTCAATCAGTATGACACCAAGGAGCTACTCAAGTGGCATATGGCTAGATATGCCTTAGGGATAATGTTGGTTCGTTGTCTTATTCCACAATAATATTATGTGGGCACTTATGAGAACTTTTGATCACGACAAACTCCCTTGGATATTTTGTCATAGACTATTTAAAGTTTACAAAGTCTATATTTGTAATTAATATTACCTATCAAGTGTTTGTTGAAATGATTATTTGTTGGATCTGAGTTAAATGTTTCTTCTAACTCATATTCTCTTTTATAGGTCCTTAAGAGACTATAAGAGATTTCGCTGATCATTCGTAGAGAAACACATTATGATGTTGTATGAGTTAGGAAAAATCAATTAAATATGTGATACCATAATAACTTTTAAAATAATTTGAACAATCCCTATTAATCAGATAAGAAAAAAATGTTGGAGAAGAAATACAACATAATCGCATGAGATAAATTTATCAGAAAAACTCAATTCATGGAGAGTAGTGTCCATCGTAATCTAAAAGATACCACTATAAGCCTTCTCAAAGTCACTCTTGAACATGACTAAAGGATATAGGTACTAATCCTTTAGTAATCCTTTTCATGGTCAATTGTAAGAGCCTCTTAAGCTTTTGTTAATGTTGAACCTAATTTTCTTTCCCTTTTTTATCTTTCTCTAAAGCAAAAATAAGATGTACTGACGACATACAATGTCAAAAATAAAATAATTCCCAAACAACAACCATCGTTCTTACCTTAATAAATCCCACGGCCAATAAAGCCCTTGGCTCGTAAGACACCTCTCTACCTTTATAGTTTGTGTGAATCGATGGTCCCTCCATCTTAATGTTTAGTTTATCCCTCGTAGGGAATAAAGCTACTAAAATAAATGGGTTATTTGAGATTGACTTTACATAAAAGATTACAAGGACAAACGTGTTGTGAAGAACGTATAATGCACACAAAAATTAGGATGACTGAGTTTGAGCTATGGCTTGATATTGTCAACGTAAATTTTGTGAAGCCATCAATCCCTTATTGTCGTGGAAGAACATCATTATAGCTCTGAAATGAAATCGAGGAGATGGAGAAACCAATAGTAAACTCTGAGACCTATGTCAAAAAAATTTTCATTAAAATAATCAAAATTAAGAGACTTCATATCAATACATTACGATCGACTAAGGAATTGAGTAGACAATATGTGGTAGTATATCTTTTTTACTCAAACAAGTAGTCAATAAAATAAATAAATAATAATTTATGTATTCCGAAAGTTTGATTGAGAAGATATAGCAAAGACCGGATATAGCAAAGACTTGCTCTAATCAGGATGAAAATTTACTCTTTCCAAACAATAATTTATGTATTCCGAAAGTTTGATTGAGAAGATAAATATCAATAATTAACTCAACGCATGAAGTATGAGTAAAGAGTGGCAATACTATTAATCAGCTCGATGCATGGAGTATACCCTTAAGGAGGTAGACGAAGTCAAGTGACCTTTAACCTTTTCAGTTTTTGAGAGAACAAGTGAGATTGTATTATCTAATTTTCTTAATTATCTAACAAGGGAGCTCTATATGTTTTCGAAGAGAACTTAACAGTTGATAGCAATTGTTGAATCCTCCCCAACGATGATCAATTCTACTGAAGGTAGCTTATCCACTTTATTTTCTAATAGAGTGGCAATCGAAAGCAAACGTGATGTGAACCTACTTAGAGGCGATGACTAGTAGAAAAAGAATTAATGAGAAAATTTTATAGAGGACAAGGCCTCAAAACTTTAAATTCTACAAGGAGATATTCATTAAAGCTTCAATTTATATCCATCCAGTTAAGCCATCGCAATAAATTTGAGAGACTAGAACAAAACAAGGAAAGACCTTTTACTTTATAGATGGATTCATGGATGCAAACAAAGATAAATCTCATATTAGAGTTAGTTAGTGACGAGTTAAAATAGTATTATTGGATTAAAGTTTGACTATCCAACAAGAATAAGTTAGTGTATTTGCAGAAGCAAGACCAGTTGAAATAGTTAGTGAGAAACCAGTTGAGAGCCTAGAGGTGTATTCCAGCTAAAGCAAGACCAAACATATAGCAAAGTGAGAAGATGTAGCATTTGCAGAAGCCAGCACATCAAAAGAATAAGTGAAGAAAAATATCACGAACTATTAATAGTGATGGTGTTCGATGCAATGTCCATACTTTTTTATCTTGTTCATGTCTTAAATAGGATTTCAATAGGTTTGACAACCCGCTTTTGAGTATAGCTTGTGCCTGATCATCACGTAAAGATAAAATTACTTAAAAACGAAACCTATATCCCATAACTTATAAGGATTTTCATGAGCCAAGAATAATCATATGTGGTTCAAACCCCTAGAACCCTATGTGACACGACTTGGTAAGGGATGATTCATCGATTGGTCTGGCAATAGTGTTACAAGAGCATTGGTTTTTGAGTATGCGCTTTGACATAACTATGACGATATAATATTACTTGGGCATTCATTTATTCACTAACTTGTTTTCTTTTTTACAAGTCTTTAAAGAGGGCCAACGAGGTTACAAGAATAACCTGGAAAGTTGTTCTTTACGAATGACATACAAAAGAATCGTAGGACTTAGAATCAACGATAATAGCGAGGAGGAGGTTAGTGAGATAACAATCGCTTTAGAGTTATTCTCCAAGCAAGATTCCCTGCTTAAAGAGAAGAGGGTTCCCATTCCCAAACTCTAATCGCTTCGCCCGAAATGAGAGCAATCCATGTATCAATCCACCGACAGGTAAAAGAGGGAACTCTGGTAACTACTACACCAAGGTTCTACAATGTTTATAGATTGTAATTGCTATACCGAGATTCTAGATTTCTGAAAGCAAGAATAGATCACCCTAAAGAACAGTGAACTGTAGGATGAAACCAAGGTACTCAAAGCTAGATAGCAGCTTGTCTTAAAATTTGAATCTGCAGCCAGCAATCCCAAAGAACAATAACCTGTAGGATGAAACCAAGGCACTCCAAGCTAGAGAGCAGATGCACATGATCACAAAATTATATAACAATAACAAAATAACAAAAAAAAAACTGTAAAATCGCAACTATTTACGGTCGGCAAATGATCATAAGTTACAGCCAGCTGAAAAGGACTATTTGAATAATAGTACTTCATAACAAAGACAACATCCCACCTTTGCACTTAACTATGATCCATTTAGAACCCCGAAGAAAATAACAATAACATTCTTTACAATCCATGCTGGTAGAGAGTCTTTAATTTCTCAATGGCCAAAGCCATTTTCTTATTATAACTGATAGTCCAAATAAAACAACATGACTTCTGAGACATTGCAAGTTCATGATAAAATGGGTTCCAGCCAGAAAATGATTCGAGACTAGGAGAAAATCGAGTCTAAATCAAACATGTCGTCCAACATATTGCAAGTGCATGACAAAATTAATTCCGGTCAGAAAATAATTTAAGACAACTAGTCAAATCTAAAAAAGTGTTCCGCAGAAAACATCAAGTCAAATCACCATTTATTAGGAGGTTTTTGGATTCACGAGAATGACAGTGAGTTCAAGTTCATCTAGTTTTCATCTTTTTCTCTGCTTGAAGTGCTGCAGTTATCTTCTTCCAGCACCTGATCGCAATCAGCAAGGGGATGACAACCCATGAGCTGTTTGCTCCGACATAGTATGCCCAATAATAGTAAGGGCTTGTTGCAAAGTTGTCACCCTCCAGGAAAGCAGTTATGAAGTAAAGCAGGCAACCATAGAGCTGGCCAAGACAAACTGCAAACTGAAGAATATAACTGTAGGGTTTCCTAGTGGCAATTGCGTACCTGAAGAATATCATCCCAAACAGATGAAGTTACAGAAATCTTAATGATATAAATTATAAAGCAATTATTTTCTATCAAAACAACTTTATTGATTTATCTTCTTGTTGAAAACGTCATTCCATGGATATTACGGCATCTTTATATATCTTTCAACTGGTTACATGGTAACATGGTAACTTACATCACTTGGTCTATAACTAGTGGACTCTTACGAGCAAAGGGCAAAAAATATATATATATATATAGCATTAATCCACCAAAAAAAGAAAAGTTAAGAGCTTTCGCTGTTTGTTCGTCATGAATATGAATGATAAAATCACCCTGAACTATGAAGAGGCATGTGATTGAAGGTGAACATACTGACATCAGGGATGTTAATGGGCGCTCTCTAAGGCCCAAGCACCTCAATATAACCCTGGCAAGGTGCCCAGGCAGTCACTTGGGTTGGCCCAAGCGCATCTAATCAAGATTCCCAGAGTTGATCAAATTTTGGCTTCAATCAATTGGTTTGATCAAATCATTAAAGTATTTGATATCTTAGCTCAAGCCATTTTGTTTAATCAAAACCCCTTCCCCTAATCCTCGCATGTCAAAGCAAGAGCCATCCCCTCAGCACAATGATGCCTCCCCCCTTCCCTTGGTGGTATTTCTCTCTCTTAGCTATATCTTTCCTGATGGTACAGATCCCCTCTTCTCTCTCTTCTGGCAGTGCAGCACCCTCCTCTATTCCCACTTGATGATGAAACCCCAATTCACTTTCCTCTCTCGTGGTGATGCACCACCAGAAGTGAGAGAAGAGGGGAAGGGGTTTTAACCAAACAAAATGGCTTGAGCTAGGAGAGCAAAAAATTTCAGCAAACTGAAAGCCCTTTTATCAGCATAGAATAATTCATGAACACGAGGGCCTAACAGTCTAAACAGGATGACCCTGATCTTTACTGGACCTGAGAAGCACTTGAGTAAGAGTAATGGTGGGTCTCAGTCTTCTGACCAAGTCAGAAAGTAATCAAACCAAACTAATAAGACATAAGTCAAGACTAACCAAGTCCCAACAAACGCCACTGTCTGAGGGGTGTCCTAGTCCCTACTTGATTAAGAACATAATTGTATTTTCATCCTTAATTTGAAATGTTAATGTTATTTTGGAAACCCTGGAGAGCCCTATTTAAAGTCAAGTTAGTTGCCAAAAGCCAATGTAGTATAGATTAGTATAGAATTGGCCTAGGGAATGAGTCTTTTTGGTCTAGGAAAGGAGTTTTGGGTTGCATGAATTAAACATGAAAATCAAGCCATTAATACAAGTGAAATTGCGATACTCAAACTGTTTCTTGGCTAAAGTGGTTTTTACAAGATCTTTAAGATCATTCAACAATAATTGTTTGGGATTAGAACAAGTACAAGGTTTTCCTTCTTTTCTCAAAAACTGACCTACTACAACTTTTCAATGAAGTATGAAATACCTACCAAGGTACAAACAAGATAAGAAATCATCCAAGAAAGTAGCCCTGGTGTAGGCTTAAGCATATAGGAAGGAGTTCCAACTCTGTGATCATGAGTTCATATTTGTATAATCTCCTAACTAACATATTTATATGCCAAATGCAAACTCATGGTAATTTTCCATAATGCACTTGCTTCCAACAATTCAATAGGATATATAGCCTATTCCCAGCACTTGCAAACAGCATGTATAAATAAAAAATTTTACTGAAAAGAAAGAGCTAATCGAAGCCTTACACTGCAAGAAGGCTGGCTGGACCCTCTAGAACAGCAGTGATACCTTCAACAGTGACAATACCTGCATCTCTTCCAGCATATCTGGAGTCACCTTTGCTATATTCCTTCCCTGGCATTTCAGATCACAATAAAAAGCATAAAATCTAAAACTCTGTTCAGAAGCTCCAAATAAATTTGTTAAACTGAAAATCAAATTCGGCATATGCTGAAAAGACTTACAGACTTCAGCTAGAAAATGTGGAGTTTTCTCCTTGTAAAAATCAGGAGAGAAAGCGAAGTATCCCTCAAGTATAATATGTGTCAGCCCCGTGAATGCCCACCAGCACATAAGCAACCTATCAGTCTTAGACAACTTTGATCGTCCTACAACCGCAGAAGAAGATAAAGGGAATAAATTCAACTAACAAGGGAAATAATACACAATGCAGATATGAATTCAACTGCTATGAGGATTTATTTTTCCTTTCCAATGTGCTGCCATTCTTGATGGTCAAAGGGGGGGTAAAAGGAAAACACCTAGTTCAGATTAATGCCTAACTTTTATGTCACCCCACAATCATACATCCGGGTGTGTTTGGAGTCAACACTGCAATGCAGTTCCTAAGTAACTTGACAGATATCAACAAAAGTTCAGTGATAACCATTTAGATATTATTTCCAACAATCTTCTCTCAGACGCATTCTTACAACTACGTGGTAGGATCAAAATAATAAGCACGTGTTCTCGTACGAAAATCCTCAATGAACTAAACCAAGACGAAATATCTAGCAACTAATCAATCGATTGCTTTGCAGTGCAAGTATCGCAAAAGAGAGAAGAGCAAAATCATTACGATCTATCGTATTTCAGGCAAAAATAAGAGAAGGAAATGAACTAGATCAAGAAAAGATGAATCTTGTCAGCGAAAGGCTACTGTATGTGCGACTAGATCTGATCTTTTTTACAAGATTGGATCGAGACTAAGAAAGAAAGAGAGGGAGGGAAAGCAGACCGGAGAAGAGCCAGATGAGGGAGACGAGGAGGAAGGAGGTGCCGAGGTAGGGGACGAGGATGTCCTTCTGGGAGAGGAAGCAGGGGACATAGTCCGGCAGCTTCAGATCCTTCGGCACGTACGGGTGCTCCCAGTGTCCCGCTTCCGCAGCCGCCATCTCTCGCTTCTTCTTGTGCTGCTTTGCGTGATGGCGATGTCCGGTTTATGAAGAGAAAGGGAAGCGGCCGAGATACTTCCCACCTACCACAGCCTCCTCCTTTGTAATGGAATAATATCCACTCGATCTACAAGGACCAAATCGTCGATATCAGTCTCCCTCACGGAAGCGGGACCCGGGACAGATTCAACGGTACACTTTTGGGGCGTTTCAATTTATCTGTCTTCCGGCCCACCGGCACGTGGGTGTCTCCGGCTGTGCTCCGCAGGTACCAAATTTCGATCAAACCAAGAAGAACACACGGTCGATTTTGCTTCTTCGTGAATCCAGAGGAGCGATGTGGGCGGCTGGATCTGTGATCGATGCAGAGGCACCCTCCACGTGTTTCACGTGAGGAGCACCAGTAAGCATGTTGAGATGGTCTACCTACCATTTTTGGGAGACTGAAAGAACACACACACACACACACTCTCTCTCTCTCTCCTTCGACAGTATGATCGATCGGTACCTGTATTTGGATAAACTCATCGCTATGTTTATTGTCACCATTATTACACGAATCGATAGCAAATGTTGAAGCTATATTTAGACATCACATTAGCTAAAACCTTGAAAGCATTCAAGAACACTACAATTGTGGTCAATCAAACGAGTAAAAGGAACCATTCAGTAACTAATCAATATCGCTTCATCTGCTTGGAAGCTAATTTTGGCTTTCTTTTAATTACTTGGCTTGGATCTTTCACAGCCATTTTGATGTAATAAATACACTTCTCTAAAAATGCATATATCTGATAAGAACTATCATTAAAAAGTGGTTTACATATTAGCAAAATTATGCAAGAATATGCATTTTTAACTTTCCAACAGATATCCCCAAGAGAAAACACATGCAGTACAGGGAAAGTAGAGTGATAGATCAAAGTTGAATAGGATCAAATAATTTTCTTATCAAGATCCAGTTCAATCTGAAAAATCTAAAAACAGAACATTCCGACTGGTTGCTGATGATTCACATAGAAATCGAGACGATGTTGTATCAGTTAAAGAAAGACTTTCGAGTCAAAAGCAAATTTCAAAAAGAAAAGAACAAAAATTTTATATAATACACCATGCTCGCGATCAATGAAACAAAAATGGATCCAAGCTAACAGAAGTTCAGAAATAAATAGTTACAAAATAGCCTGAAAATTCTTAGCTATAAAGCAACTCTAGTATTGGAGCTGATACCAACACTCCAGAGAAGACTTTATATTTATAGCCCGTCTTCAAGTTTAGTTCAATTTTATCACACTTATTGACTACAAAACCACGAAGAATCAAGAAAAGTCCAAAGCAGGTATTGCTTTAAAACGTAGCGAAGACAAATCAGTTTTGTCGAAAATAAAAATGAAAGAAACAACCAAGTTCAAGACACACTAGAACACCACATGAACCTGCATGCTTAAAATTTTAAAAGGATCGCCGATGGAAAGTAAAAGATTATCAAAGCAAAGTGACACGCTAATATTAGATCTTACAAAAAATTTATCCAGAGAGAACCATCTCAGAACAGAGAACTATTCTTCGAAACATTTATTCCTTCAGATGGCGGATGGTAGCATGCAAAGGATATGATGCTAATCCCAATAACTTGACAAGAGAGATCATGTATCATTCATGAATAACATGCTACTGTGACAAAGCACAAGTAAAATGTAAAAAGGCCACAATTATTTTGGAAAACTAGCACAAAGCTCATGCCAAGAACCCATGCTATGTTTTAAAGATATGGTTTTACAGATATTTTGGTTTTCCTCCCACATGTAATAAATGGATTTTCACTACCAACAGAGCATATGAATTAGTATGTAAACAGATTTATAATAGTGATTTAGAGTTTTCAAGGACTGTCTATCAGAAAGAGTGAATTATTTCTGAATGATGTTTTCTTGGTTAGATAGGTTGAGTGCTGGAGGTATCACATTATAGGTGCTAACTGAAAAAATAATTGTGATAATAAATTTTCAATATTCCAATAATATAATAGCTCTTACAAGAATGACCAACTTATATATTAAACAATCAGCAAACGATTAAAGAACTTGAACACACTATGATAACTGATACAACAATAAGAAGCTGTAAGGTAACAACTATTTGCGACAAATCAGCAACTCATTAATCAAATACTAAATAAATATTGTACCACAGATTTTAAACAAAGACAAGATGCATGATATAGATGGCAAATCTGACAAGATATGAAGTTAAAAACATTAAAAAAAAGGTTAACGATTTACGATGTGCATAATTCAAAGAGCAAGACTTCATTGGGGTTAAGAGTAATATGTAGTATCTGACGTGTTAACTTAAATAATGATAGAAGGTTCAAAATATATAATAATTGAGGCATCAAAGATGCACTGAATCATAAACCATTCAAGATAACAGGGAAATGCTATAAAATAAAAATGTCATAAGGACAATATAGTGCAATTTGTAAATAAGAAATAAGAATTTGATTAAAATGTTTGCTGAAATCCATTACATAAACTTATTCTAACCTCAAAAGGTACAAAAAAATGACTAAAAGTATGGCATAATTGTGAAGAAAATAAAACAGCATGGTCATATATTACAACATAGCTAACCTGACTAATTTAATTTATCATTGAAATTGGATTAAGAATGGCATATAAGGATGATTTCTAGATATAGAATCTAAGTAGCTTCATCATAAAAAATATTCATTTTGGTTGCCTTTGAATATACAAGAAACAGGCTAGGCTATGAAATGAGTTCCTGACATTTTTGGAGGGAGCCAAAGTTGCACATCTCTTAGGTTAATAGACAGCGGTCTATAAATTAACCTACATGTGCGTGTGTTTGCATAATTCCAACAAATTAAACACAAGTTCCGTGACTAAAAATAATAATTCCAATACACATTATCTATGAAGCATACTTACAACAAATATACCAATGAAAACACTCAGTTCCCAAGTCTTCATGATTTGTACCTAGAGTTAACCCTTCTAAGTCCTTAGTGGTGCCTCCATCAACTAGCCTCTAGCTAGTGTCCAGTCTCAAAACCCAACAAGGAATTAAGATGCAGCCCTTGCAAGTTATCATTAATAGTTGGAAACCTCCATTACTATCAGGAGAGAGAGAGGATGAGAAAACAGAATAAGAAAGAGACTATATGGTAATATTACATTTTAGTTCAAACACCTCATGGCACAAGACTTCTGAGGAAAATACTGACAGATAAAAGAGAATAGTTAGAACAACACATTGTGAAATAAACTAAGAAACAAGCTGGTTGAAAAATATTAAATACAACTCTGTTCAATCTTTCTGAACACTCTGTACTCTATCATCGACTCCATGCATCTCCACGACGTCATGCTCATCTTTTCCAAAAGCATTAAATATCCTTCAATAAGCCAGAAGAGTGAAAAAAAAAAAAAATTTGGTTCACTTCAGTTTTGCAAAACCCTGCTGATGTTGGATAAGTTCAAGCAACAAGAGGACCAAACAAACCTGGAGAATTTTCATTGAGCAAGCACATAAGTTCATCAAGATCAGTTGGATACTACCCATCATAACATTGAGGCAATCATGATGGAGAATTTCAACACCTAAAACAACATCCTCTGTCTTCATGCATCCCTGTATAATTGCAGCAAACTTCCCCAAACACTGATTGTTTTCTTTTTTTCCCTTTTGTAAATGGATCAAGCAATTTTGTTCAACTCATTAGTAAATCCTTTTGGAATTAAACCTAAGTGAGGAGTAGGGATAAAGGAAGAACTTATCTTAGGCCTGCGTTGAGCTCTTGGAGAACGCCTTCATCTGAATGTGATCCATATCTGAGAGAGTTCCGGTCGATAATGAGGCCGGCAGAGCCTCGTAGGAATCTCCATTGTGCCTTCGGACGAGCCCACTGCTACTGTATGCCCTGGTCGAGGTAGCACACACGATCGAGGTGGTAATGGCAATGAGGGTGGCGTGGAGGGCAAAGGCCAGATCAAGGAGCGCAGCGGCGCGGTGGAGGGAACTGTCAAGATCACAGTTGGTGGAGATGTCGCGGACACCCAGTATCTGGTGGCAACCCTCGGGAATAAAGGCGTCGACGTAGAGGGAGATGCCGGTCTGGAATGACCAGAGACCTTGGAGGGCAATGGAGGCTGCCAAGGCGAGCTCCGCAACGAAGAGCCTCGGAGCAATGGCCACAACGAGCGCGGAGGTAGCAGATGCAGCAGAGACAAGCGAGGAGATGGAGTCGCACTTGGACTGGAGTTCGGATTGCTGGTATGCGGCGGCCGAGTGGGCGGATGCAGCGGAGAGGAGGGCAAACGCGAGGGCGGCAAGGAGGAAGACGACGTCCGCCGGGAGTGGGAGGATCAAGATGGAGGCGGCGAGGAGGACAAAGACGAAGAGGGCGGCGGCCGACTCGAGGTAGGAGAAGCGTTGGGCGGCAGCATGGGCTCCATCGGGCGAGGAGAAAAAGGCGTGGACCGCGATGGCGACGAGGAGGCAGAGGAGGGCGAGGTAGAGGGGGAGGTGGCGGAGTAGGTGGTGACGGTGGGCGGCGAGTGCGAGCGGGTAGTAGGGGCGGGCGGTATGGTCGGCAGCGACGGCAGCACCGCGACCGGAGGTGGAGAAGGAGGACGACGGGACGGCGAGGTGGGCGCGGGTGGCTGAGATCAGATGGTAAAGGCCGTGAGAGAACAAGGCGACGAAAGCAAATGCGTGGTACACAAGATCCGCCATCACCGATCTCTCTCTCCCCCCCTCTCGCTCTGTCTCCTCTCTCTACTACCGTCTTGAGAGGAGCAGAAATAGGACGAAGCGTCGCATTTTATACCTGCAAAAATTAAACTTGGATATATGGCATCCAATTTGGAATTTGATACCCTTTTACACACAGTTAAGAACAATTGAGAATAAGAATATTAAAGATGATTTATTTTATTTTTAATATTTCTTAAATTATACCAATAACATCATTTTTTATATTTTTTTATATTCTTAATCCAAAAAAGTATCGATAACCATAATTAATAATGAGATCTTGACCTGACAGGAAGGATATATGTAATAAACATATTACATTCTAATTTAGACAGGCCTAAGGTTACATTTGAGAATATATTTATATCTTTAATGTCTAGCTGAAAAAAATGATTTGAAGGAATGTGTAATCGTTAAATACCTTTGGAATAAATAATAAGTAAATAAATAAAAATAAATGTATGTATGTAATCCTATCAAAAAAATTTTATGGCTAGATATATAATAAATAATAAACATAATAATTAAAAAATATATTAAAATAAAATTTTAAAATTAAATAAATAAAATATTATTGTATAAAAAATATAAATCATATTATTTTTCACTAAATCATTTTAACAAAAATCATATGGTACCTTCAAATTTTAAAAATTACATTAGCATCATAAAAATGCTAAAATGTTAATACTATCATAAAGAAGCATAAACATTTGAGCATTTTCAATACAACATGATGTGATTTTTTTGAAAAATATCAAATGTCAAATTATATTCGAAATGTATAATAAGCTTTCACTACACATTTCGAATATATTCCTAAACACACATTTCAAATGTATAATAGCCTTTTATTATTACAGGATTAAGATCTCAAATCTCACCTTCATTACTATTACATATAATAGCATCACAATAATTTCTTTAAAGATCAATGGTAAATGCCCTATATATGTCATTGTATATGCCTTTAGCACATAGTAAATTATATATCCTTGTAATGATGGAAACGAATTTAGGAGTAATATTACTATTGTACCATGGTGTACCTATAAATATAGAGATCTTGACTGGGAAGGAACAATAGACATAACCTTACTTCTAAATATAATGAGACTGTTTCTATGATTGAAACACGCAATAAGAACATTGGTCTTTCAGATCATAAAAGAACATTTAGTTGTGAACACACATGAATTGCACCCGAATAACTTATGAAGACACCGTTCATGATTGCATCCAACAAAAATGATTAGGCATGGCCAGGTTTGGACTAGGAAATAGAGCTACTTAACAAGGATCAAAAGCTGGAAACATGTTTGAAGTCAAAAATTGGAACAATCTACAGCCATACAACTACTTTTAACACAATCAACAAGTAAGAATATGTAACAAATCACATTGAGTTTTAAGAAGAAGCTGTTACCAGGAAGATGCAAAATTTGAAGTTTGTGGCTATCCCAAGGATGCAGGCATGAGACACAATTGATCAATGCATTTGAGCTCTATGAGGTTAGATCTTTCCAAAGGAAGCAAGTCACCTATGATATAGATACTCCAAATCATTGACATTGTAGGTCTGGTTACATGATCTGCTATTGCAAAAAATGCTGCATACAGTAACTTCTTGCATATGATCACAAGAGTTCATGCAATTTTTACAGCATCACATCCCCTTCAAGTTCCAAAGATCCACAGTCTGGGAAATTTTTCCATCTGATAATTAGATCTACCAGCTACTACTACTGCTAATACTACTATGATGATCACTCAAGCAGCATGACCTTTTATAAGAAGGGGGGCTAAGAACCTGTCTTTCTCCCCCTTAACAATCGTTTCATAATAAAATGCCCACGGTAGGTCAAAATAGCTGATGACATTAGATAAAGTCACTGCATAATGAGGAAGTTGCTCCTGGAAGGTATATACAGTGAATGTTATTTTGAGAGAGCTTCTCTCGGCAGGTTGAACATTGCTTCTCTGACAGGATGACACTAGTGATGCAAGCTTTACAAAACATATGTCCGCAAGTGGTTGTCGCCTCCCTCATTGTGTCCATACAAATAGTACATCGTAGTCACACCTGAACTACGTCACCAGGAACACTCACCATAATGCAGATGCAGAACTACTATAATCAATAATGCTATAGAACAACAAAATGTTGAATCTATGATCAAATTAAGTGTAAGGATGGGACAATTAGGGCATGGTTCGGACCAGAAATTAGGTTCACAAAGTTTGGAAAAGAGGAGAAAATTAGGTACCCAAAATTTGAAAAAGGGTGGAGGATCTTGAAAATACAAACAAGGAAACGGAGGTTCCAGAAATTCTATTAAGCTCCATAGTAGATGCATACAGCAATTTTTTTTTAGATGTATACAACATTAAAGAAAGAAACAGCTATGAGTGACAAGCTAACTATGAAAGAAGAACTAGTAACTTTGAGCTTTCCTGCATTCAGTTCCTTCCCGGAGTTCATATTTCAGTTAAGTTACAAGAAATAATCATCTGGAGAGGAAAAGATTCAAAGACATATCTTGCCGGAATTCCAAGCATTTGGGCCTTTCGATCTGTCTTCTGATGTAGTACTCCAGCCATTTAAACTCCCAAGATACTGATTAGAAGCTGCCAGAAGAAGGAAAAGCATTAGATAAATGCTGCATTCGAATGTAAAAGATTGGAATTTACAGACGAGGCAGTCCGTGACAAACTAAGAAGATGTGGTATTAATCATGAGAAACCAAAAATCATATAAGATGAATTAATGTAGAAAACCCTAATCTGCATAGTAACAATCATGACAGATGCTTGCTGAAGGAACTAAAACTTGACCAGTTAGTTCAATACACAGATTCCAAACATAAGACAAGTATGAGCGGGAACAAATAAGAGGGATCTCTTTTAATTGGAATCAACTACAAACGATCCTTCGATGACTTGGAAGACAGTCTGATAAAGAAAAGCCATCCTCGAACCTTACAAAATTTTACTACAAACTTGAACTCTCAAATTATGAAACTTAATAATAAAAGAACTTGCTTAGCCCATGGTAGACTCATGTTAGGACACTAAGACACCAAATAGATTTAGAAAAGCAATCTAAGCACTCCCCAACATGGATACTGAAGATACTTAGGAAAATCAGTCCAATGATTACAGAGATTCAGAACAGAAAATCTACTTCTTTTTCTGGCCAAGAAAAGAATTACTATTGAATAGTCATTATCTTGACCAAGTCCTGGGCCTTTTAGAATTGTTTCAGGGATCATTGAATTATATAGAGCCTTAGGATTGCAAAGGTATGTTTGTTTCACAATCTATAAGTAATCCACCGAAAATCTAAAATGAAAAAGGGGAACATTATGCAAAAAGATGCTTCAATCACCTCCAACTCCAAGCCGAAGTTCTAGATCATCTTCTCAATTGCAGGTGCACATGAACTGGAGTAACTTGAGTATGGATTGAACCCAACCATCTGCAACATGACAGATTAATACTAGTCTAAGCAAGCACCGACAGAAACCTCAATGGCCAAACCCTGAGAAGAAAACCCAAACAAGTAGTAACCTTAATCAAGCCGAAAGATTGCATGGCCCTGTAGAAATACCTCTCCGCAAGACGCAGGAGGATACATCCTACATCGTCATCGCAGTCTTCGATCAGTATAACAGTATTAACTCAGGACAACCCCTTAAGCGACTTGCTGCCAAATCTGGCATTTGTATAGGGTAGACAGGCCAAATCTCAGCTCGAGATCTTGCAATGTCTCCGCGCTCGATCTCGACCTACCCATGTCACAATAAACCTAAAAATTAGAAATTTTACCAGGAAAAACAAATCTTTCTCAGTCAAAAGTCACCAATCTGTCACTACCTCGTGGAGCAGAACTAGGGGAAAAAAGAAAAGGTGGCAAGCCAAACACAACGGAGAACGAGATTCTTCTGTGTGCGAAGATGAACGACGAAAGAGCTGGGATAGAGGAGGAGACTACCGGAGATCACATGGGAACGGTCTGAAAAGGTGGAAACTTTCCGAAGATTAGAGATCTCAAACAGCCGAAGTCACCCAACAATAACATAAAAGATCGAGGAAATCGACAAAAACACGAAATTACAAATTTTCCAATCGAATGACAGCCTTACTGAAACCGGAATCGATGAATCATGCAGCGAAATCGAAGATCCACTGCGTCTCCAGTAGCGACAAGAAACCTGGACGTGCTCGCAGGTGACGGGAAGGGGGGCGCGGGAAAAAGAACAAAGAAAAGCTTAAAATATATATTAATTAATATTACATAATTAAACAAAATTAGTCCGAATTTTCCGGTTGCGCCTTTGGGAATCATCAAGAACCCAGCGCGAATCTTACGGCAGATCACGGTGAATGTTGATTTGAACGTGGACGTTACAACAGGGCGAAGTCGGGGCTGTGGTCGCAAGTCCAAGTGGAATTAGTGGAAGACTTAATTTGGAAGTCGGACCCACCACCTTCATTGATTCGCCCAACTATGGAGGCGGAATTCTACGTGCGGGCCTTGACCGGCCCATGCGCAACGTAGACGGCGGTGGGTCACCGGTCAAGACTCCGCGTCTGACTCCATCCGACCAATCTCGTTAAATTTGGTAGACACATTAATCCCTTGGAGATTATTATTTACGTCAACAAAGCATTTAAACAGAGTCTCTTCACTAAGAAAAATAATATCCTAAAAAATATTTTTTTTATTTTTTTAACAAAATGTCTCATTTTTAGAATTCTCTAATAGTATTTTCTTTTTTTTGGGTTGGTTCTTAGGATAAATCGATGTAATTATAATTTTTTATATTATAATATAATATTTTCAGTAATATTAAGAAAATATTGTGTTATAGTGTTTTTTTACTATATTACAGTGTTTTCCTGATATTGTTAAAAACTATAACATAAGGTTAAAACACCGGGAACCAAGTATTTTCATAAAATTTATATATTTTTATATTATTATTAAAAAAAATATTATAATTAGATTAATTTGTCATAAGAAGTGATTCAAAAAAAAAAAGCAAAGTGGTTGACTATCAAATCAAAAGTATTTAAAGTACTAGGAAAATATCATTAGAAAATTTTAAAAATATATCAGATAAAGTTTTAAACCCTCAACTTCAAAAAAGAATTTTTTTTTTTTTTTTTAGTATAGCGCATGAGCTTTTCGTGTGTGTGTGAGAGAGATTTTTGAAATAGTACCTTATTAAAAAAAAGATCATTTTGCTCCTTTTGTGTGTGTGTGTGATTTTTGAAATAGTACCTCTGATAGTGAAAATATTATTTTGTTATTTTGTGTGTGTGATATTTGAAATAGTGCTCTAGTATGAAAAGATCATTTTGTCCAATTTTTTTCGTGTGCGTGTGTTTTGAAATAGTGTCCCCGACATTATGAAAATATCATTTTACTTTTTTTTTCATGTGTGTGTTTTGAAATAATACTCTGACAGTATGAAAAGATCATTTTATCCCTTTTTTTTTATGTGTGTGTATTTTGAAATAGTGCCATTAAAAAGATCATTTTATCATTTTTCATGTGTGTGTATATGTGTTTTGAAATAGTGCCCCTGACAGTATAAAAATATCATTTTTGCTCTTTTTTCATTGAACTCGTCATCACCTCCGTTGAGCTTGCTGACTTAACTATTGCCCGCCTCAACTCAGATGAAGACGACGAAAGTGTGCACCTCTCTCCTTCTTCTTCCCCTACGATCAATGACAAGAGCTCACGGACCGCCTCATCTTCTTCTTCACTCGTAATCAATAGCGTAAGGGGGCGGGGGGCACTTATGAGTGATGATAAGCGCACACAAGCCCCCTGCTCTCTTTTTTTCCTCACGCTTGCAATCGTCCCTTCTCTTTCCTAACTCACGATTAACGACACATCTTTTTTATTCCTCTTATATGATCGACGATTAAGATCGTGAACAAAGGGAAGGGACGAGCATTATGAGTAACAAAAGCTACGAACAATTATTTGGGACGAAGAGGATAGACAAGCATGACAAAAGCAAGATAAGACGTAAGACAAAGGATAATGATAGATAAGATTAAATTATTATTAAAAAAAATCTTCGTTGTTTCATGATATTTTAAAATAGGAATGCTGTAAGAAAAAGTTTAAAAAATAAAAAAATTCGTATATATATACATATATTGAAAAACTTAGAAATCAGGGGTTTTCCTGATAAAATCACCCGAATACAATATAAGTACAATAATTCAAAGACTTCATAGTGACGTGATATCGACGGACCGAGTCAATGCACCGCAAGGCGAGACCGGGAAAACTGACCGCAATGTGAACGATCAAACATGCAGCTGGTGGAGGACAAGAAGCCGCAACTACGCGTGTGAATGCAGAAGCGATCGACGGATGTTTCGGAGATGTGGTCAGCACGATCCTTGTAGGTATCATTTTTGTACGACGATCGTCTTGCATCACCGCGGTCGTTCCAGCTTTATTGACCCGATTAAACTAGTTGCTTATTTCACAGTTGACGAAACCCCAATTGCATCGATGCCGGTGTGATATTTCCTTTGAATCGCGTGAACATTGTCTCCTCGTCTTCTTCTTTGACCAAAGACATGAGACGAAGTAACCCTAAATAGAGACCGGAGAGCTGCCTGCCTTCCCCAATCTACCATTCCCGTGTTTATGTTCGAGAAGTTAAAAAGCAAGGAATTTTCTTCTTCTTTCGCGTTCAGCTCCGATCTTCTCCTCTGCTTCTGTGCACTCCGTATTCCGAAGGTTAGGGATTTTGAGTTTGATTCTGGGAGGCGAAAGAGGAGGGAAGGATGAAGTCGCCGCTGAGAATGTTTCGAGGCTTGAAGCTTGGCAGGCAGGAGGCCAAGGAGGAGAAGCAGCAGCATCGGCCCCCGATGAATATGGACGATCTTATCCAGGCCACGCAGGTAATTGTGATCCTCCTATTCTTTGAGGCATATCTACGCATTGAAAAAAGCGGCGATTTTTTTTTTTGGGTGGTTTGGTGGGGAAGGATTTTATTCTGCGATTTGTGGTAATTTATTTTTACTATTTCGAAAAGCTCTTATCTTTTCCGCTTCTGATATGATTTTCGGTGCTGCATCCCTTCATTTCACAAGTTCAAATCATTTGTACTTCATTTTGTGTATAATTTTTGTCCTGAAATGATTTTTGGATTTTATTCTCCAACTTTCAGTTCATCTGATCTAACGCAATTACCAGTTTCAGCAACATATTGTTTGCTTTCGACGATCTTGTTCATGGAAGTGACTTGTTACCTCCAAACGGCATTTATGTTTCTTTCCGGAGCTTTCTTTTTGGTACCAACACGTTCAATCATTCAGTGTGGGTTACTGATAAAAGTTTTAGAAACTCTGTGCTTTGACACGTTGGTAGGGATGGGAAATAGGTAGCTCATGAGTTGGCAAATTTTGATGGGAAGAATTACGCAGAATGTGGATATGAACCTTTTTCGACTGTATTATAAATGAAGAATTAGTTTTCTTCATTGCATAGAGAAATCATTCATCATCTTTGCAGTACTATGGATGATGCATCCAGATGTTTTTTTTCAAAAAAATCAGCCTGGAATCTGCCATGCGTTCTTTACTTTATTTAATTTCTACTTGGCATATTTCATTCATCATTCTAACTTTCCAGCAGCTTTCTAATTTCACTATATGTATATTGGTGCTTTAAAGTCCCAATCATTTCAGTCGACTTTTACGTATGATGGTGTTAAGTTGTGTAATTTTTCCCTTGAAACTTGTTGTAAGTTTCGAACAATTTACTCAATAAAACAATTGGGTGTAATTTGTAGGATATACCACAAATAAAGGATAGTTATCAACAATTATAACAACATCCATGCTGATTGGGATAATGATTGATCTAAAGTAAAGTAATTCCTTTATACACGGGCATTAAGTTTGACAATTTGGTGCTGTCTGTTGACAGGATATGCAGGATATGAGGAGCTGCTGTGATAGCATACTGTCTGCATCAGCTACTACTGCTAATAATGCACATGGTACTGGTTCATACTATACTTTTGGTTTAAAAGTGATGTGTAGCTCATCATTTCTAAATAATACACTTAAGCAAATTGGTTAGTTGGGAAATAAATATGCCTAAATATTTTTATTTATCTACAAGTTGAATTTTAACTATTTTTGTACCTTGGTTGTATACAAAAATTATCTAATATTTATCTTTTGAAAAGCGCAATTATAAAGATGTTCGACTTTGACAATCAAGTTTGAGTTCAACAGTCGAGTAGTTGAAGTGTGAGCAGATTGCCTTAATCCAAGTGTCAAGATGCCGAAATTTCCAACCTGTCTCATGTTCCAAATCGACTACATTGACACTTCACCTTGGGGATAAGGTGAATCAAAGGCATAGGGAGTTGTCATGAAGCAATTTGGATTTGTACCATGTAAATCTAATGTCCAGGTCAAGACAGGCGAAGATGTTACCATGTTTGGCCAATATATGGAACTGTTCGGTGCTATTTAAGGTTGAACAAAATGGCCAACCCTGTTTCTGATAAGGTTCGTCACGGTGGGTTACTTGGGAGCTAACATTGGCTGCTGACTTGACATCTTACGAGGCTAATTTTTTATCTGAAGATGACTGGAATTATATCAAATAGATTGGAAAGGCTCTAAATGGTTGCAAAGGCTTTTAAACTAATTAGAAGAGGTCTAAGCAGGACTAGAGTAGCATAAAGTGTTTTGGTAGGCAAATGGGAATCCTAATCCCACTAGAACTGCTCCAAACTAGTCACCCTTTTAACCCAAACAAGGGAGGAGTAGCACAACAGTATGATAATGGTATTGTAGCAGTACTGTAACAGTACCATAGTAGCACATTGATCTTGTATTTTCTATACGTTTCTAATGAATTGAATATAGATTTCTAGACTAGTTTAGAATCCTATTAATAGGCATGGATGTAAGTCTAGTGAGCTTCTGTTTAGACTATTGCATTCTCTCTCTGTGCATTAATGAATTAGATTGGTTACTAGAAATCCTAGTTGACAGTTCAGTTGAGAGACTTTTACCTCTCCCTCTCCATGAGTTGTGGTAGACTTTCTAGAGGTGTACTATGGTTTCATTATGATGAGTATAGTATACTGCTGTATTTTGAATCTATTTTAACTTGGTATGTGCTATTTCAGAGTTCTCAGAAGCACTGGAGGAACTGGGCACCTGTTTACTTAAGAAAACTGCATTAAATGACGATGAAGATAGTGGTGAGCAAATCGAACTTTGTACTTTCCTGCAATTTGAATTACTATGCCAATAAAAAAATATAAATTGGTTTGGTTCTTCTGGAGTTTACTGTGTTTCTTATGGATATACTTACCTTTTTATGAATACGTTAAGTCCACAAATCTTGTGGCTCAGCCTTGCCAAAAGTATTCAATGCAGTCTGATTTTTTTTGGGGGTTAGATTTACCTTAACCTAAAGATTCAAACAATCAAAATAGCACAATTTTTTTTTTCCTTTCCAGAATGGGCTTGTGGAGAACACATTTTTTAACATTGTTTGGATCAGTACTTATGATTCTTTTAGTTTGTTCAGCTCTTGGACTACCAGATACGTATTAATTATGCATGCAGGTAGGGCTTTAATGATGATGGGAAAAGCACAATTTGCTCTGCAGAAAATTTTTGATGTCTATGTGAGTCATCTATGCTGTGGCATGAATACAACAAATTTGTCGTCCATTATACCTTAGTGAATGCTTTGGTGGTGTAAGTTGATCATTTTACTCTATTTTACAGCGCATCCATATCTTACGGACAATGGATAAGCCATCAAGGTCCCTTCTTAGAGAGCTCGAAGTTGTAGAGGTTTGCTTCTTGTAGCAAGTACTTTAAATTGGATGATGATAATATATATGAATGGTCAATTAGAGAATTATTGTACTGTTCATCGTTCATACTAAGTTGCTCGGTATTTCTTATGCACCTTGACAAAAGGAGCAATACTTACCAAGCATTCCAAATTGGTTTAGATTTTTAACTCATTTATTATTTTCTGTCGATAACATCCTCGTCAGGTCATCACCAACTTGAAGATGGTTATATAGAACCTTATGCAACTAGTTGGATAAAAAATTTGATGCATTTGACAGTTAAAGATATTGTTTCTCTAAGCTAAGCCTACTATTTTGTCAAGGTTATAATAGCCCTTTCAGATGTTGATTTTCATATGAAATTCACTGATGATATTTTTCTCATTGATAGACCAGAGAATAGAGACCATATAATCTGGAGATTCCAGAATAGACAAAACTAAATCTAAATAGGGAACATCAAATGGTAAATTAAGCAAATTATTGATGAAATTTACACAAATAATATTCAAGATACCAAGCAAGTGCTTTTCTTGCCTTGTATGCTTAGCAGTAAAGGAATATAAAAGAAACATTGCATATGGATTTAGGGCAGGGGCATAGAAGTGGAGGTATGTATTATGGTTCTTATGAGCACTTGATGCCCATTAAAGGGTAATACGTTAGGTCTAATCATGCTTTATGAGCTGGAAATATGTTGGTAACTCTACAATGTGTCTGAAAATGGGTGCAACTACATTTGCTGATGCTGGAAGTGATGGTGTTGATACAAAATATAGAATGACAAGTTGGATGCACGTAATTAGGGATAACATGAGGAATAACAATTTGAAGTGGTCCATTCGTATGTGATTGATGTAGCTTGGTTTCCAAAACCATAGAATGAATAAAAGGTGAAAAAAAGGGAATGAAGCAGGAAGGTAAAAATTTTGTATAATCTTTTGGTTTCAGTGATTTTGGAGTCGAGAAAAATCTGATGCAATTTGTATCTGATTGTCTGAGGTCATTCTTATTATTTAGGTTGAATTTTGTTCTGAAGTGGCTGCTGCAGTGTTAGAGTGGATTAGCTCTTTGGCTCATTAGGAGTTTAATGGTTAGTGGTTTTAAGTCTGTTCAAGTCTCTCAAGAGCTTTAGTGCCATGGTTTTAGTTATTTCATTTCTTTGTGATATTCCATTGTTTACTGCACTGAAGTTTTTAACTTGCATTTTTTGACTTTCTACTGAGTATTGTTATCACATAAGAAACTGTTTATCTTGTTTAGGAAGTATAAATTGCTATTTCTTAGGAAGATTATTTGTTGCTGCAGGAATTGAAACGTCTTTGTGACAATAAAAGGTATGAATGAAATTATTAAAATGTGTCTTCCTCCTCTCTTAAGTGTTTTAGTTCTTAGGTTTGACTTCTCCTCTTCAGAGAGATCTATAAAAATATGTTAGCGGCACATAGAGTCAAAGGGAGATCAAAGTGTTCTAAATCTGAATCTATCTCATCAAAGGAGTTGCAAGAAGCTCAAGCCAATTATGAAGAAAAGGCAGCCTTATTTGTTTTCCGATTGAAAACATTGAAGAAAAATCAATTTCAAAGTCTTCTTAAGCAAGCTACTAGCCACCATGCTGCACAGGTAGTTATCTAACTCATGCGTCAATAACATGTTATTTCTTCATAGTAGCAGAAACTTGTCTAGCATACTTATTTTTTTTCTTTTCTGGTTGTTATTCAGCTTAGTTTCTTCAGGAAAGGACTGAAGACTCTTGAGATGGTTGAATCATATGTTGGAGCAGTTGCTGAGCGACACCATATCGATTACCAGTTTAGTGATCTTGAATATCTTGGCTTGGACTATGATGATGATGGTGATGATGGTGGTGATAACTATTGTGGTTATGATGGCAGTGACAACAGGGAGCTAAGTTTTGATTATCGAAAAAATTTCCAAGAAAAAAATGTTATTTATACATCTAGAAACTCCATAGAGGTAAAATCCTTAAGGCTTTGTTTTGTGTTATTTCTAGTTCTACTATGTACCAATCAATTTACTACATTTCCTTGCTGTTAGAACTTGGATCATACTTATATATGTTGACATCATCATTCTAGAAGAACATTTGCTAATATAGGGATGTTTAGTGGCTATTACTTGCTGTAAAGCTGATATGAATTAATGTTGCTTGAAATTTCTACCTTGGAGTTATGCATTGATATGGTGCATGGACAATACATAAAATCATAAAGAAAACCTGCAATAAGCCTTTTTTGTAATTTTATCCATCATGTGCATATACATCAAGGATTTAAATATCCATCCTAGACCGATTTTGATAGTTTACCAGACTGATATGATACAAGCATACAATAAAATAGTAAAAATGAATTGATCAACAATATCATCCCATATGTTTCACCATATGGTTCTTGGTTGGACCAATAAATATCCATCTGTATGTACTAATCAGACCGGTACTAAGAATCTTCTTATAACTTAGTCCTCCATTCCTTGATAGTGTCAAGATGTTGATAGGTTTTTACATGAATTTTAGTCAAAGTTCCATATCATTGTTTAGAAGCATGATGATTAAATGATATCTGGAGATGTTCTAGGATAAGTCCAAAGTAGATATTCTATTGTGGTGGACCTGTAACAATGTAGGTTTGGAAAGATAGAAATACAGTTTACAAAAACTTTTAAGTAGCTTCCTGTAAGGATAATTATGGAAATAATTAAAGTTTTTCAACACAGCAGCAAAAAGCTATCATCTCCAGAGTATTTGGGGTCAGCTACATGTTCCTTTTTTCGGAGCAATACATCTCAATTAAACTTGGAGCAGTCAATTTCTTTTTATTGTTTATAATAAAGTCTTCTATGTTTCCTCTTGCCATCCTTGCACCATTCTGAATATGCTCATATCATTCTAAACAGTTTTCTATCCTTTTGTTCCAAAAGAGCTTAATCAGACTGCTCATTAAGCTCAAAAGAGCTTAATCAAAAAGCATTTCCTTTTCTTATTTTTCTAAGAACCATGCACATCCACCTCAACATTCTTATCTTGGCTACATTAACTATTTTGAATGTCCACCATTGCCTAGCCCAGTGAATGTGACATCTGTCACCTTCATGAGTTGCTAGGGTTTGATTCCTTGTATGGATATGGTTGAACATCAAAATAAAGATTTAACTTTTAGAGCATGTTGTAGTTTAACTGCACATCTCTCTGATCCATAAATCATAGCTGACCTGACAACCATCTCACATTATTTTAATTTGGTGGGCATGTGACGGTCAGACAAGATGTCCGACACCCTTTTATCCACTTAAATTGTGTGTCAACCTCTTCGTAACTGATGAAATCAGATGCTTGTCTACTTCAATATACTCATATATGCAAGCCACCTCATGCATCAGGTAACTGTGCTTGAAATGAGTAATAGATGCTCATGTTACTATTCACCCTACAAATTAGGCGAAATATCTTATCAGCTTAATCATGGGTCTGTTAATAATTAATAAGAGTAAGCCTAAATAAAATAGAAGAAATGTATTTTGTTGAAGTTTTTCTTAGAACCTAGAAAAACATGAAACTGCTTACTCAAACTTACTGCCATATTGGTGTGTCACATTTTTACAATGACATGTGAGCTTTAACATCTATACTTGTAACTTTGAATTGTCCATAAATATCGACAGTATTTCTCTAGCCTTAAACGTTGATATTGAAAGTCCTTATACTTGCATAATAGCATCCTTTCTGGCTTTTTTTTTATCTGTTACATCACAGATCTGGAACATTGGTTTATTATCTATCTCATATTACTACAGCATGCTTGGAAAATCAGTGGTGGTTATTTCATGTTTTATTTCATTTGTGCAGGAGAGTCCTGAGAAAAGCCAATTAGATATGCATTGGAGACCTGGGTATTGCTGCCAATCAGCACCAATTTTTGCTGTTAAGAAGCCTGATTCAACAGAGAAGATAGGAAAACCATCCTTATCAACTAGAAAGTTTTGCTCTTATGTTCTACCTACACCAGTTGATGATAGACCTCCAGAATCAAGTCCCAGTACTGCTCCTTACCTTGAAACAAAGGGTAGTTGGTCAACACCACTGTGGCATTCATCTCCATTAGAGGCCAAAAACACTGTAAAAGATTTCAAGGAGAGTGAATTGCCCAATCCCACGAAGTCTTTAAAGAACTCAATACTTAGAGAGAGCAATATTTATAGTGGGCCCATCAGTATGCCATCTTATTTCTCAGAGAAGCTGTCAGTGCCACAATATAATCGGCAAACAGCTTTCGGTATGAATAATTTAAAACGACAAGCCTTCTCTGGTCCATTGAGGAGCAAATCATTTTCAAGCAAACCTCTATTTTCTTCTCCTGATTATAGACCTGTGGAATTTCCCTCTGTAGTCTCTTCAGCACCCCAACATATGTTGAAACCTCAATCATATGTTTCTCGAAAGGTGTCTCCTAAAACCTCATCACCTCCTGTTTCATCTATAAAAATCAGTGAGCTTCATGAACTTCCTAGGCCTCCAGTTGATTCAGAGAAGACAACAGGGCTATCCAATTTGGTTGGTTATTCTGGTCCCTTGGTCTCTAAAAGCCAAGTGCTTACTGCAAGAAGGAATATGCCATCGGATTTTTCATATAAGGCATCACCATTGCCACCACCTCTTGAACCTATGGACCGCAGTTTCTCAATACCTTCTAATAGTCAAAGAATACCAATACCTACAGTTGCTAGGTTGTTGGTGTCTCCTTGCAATCCAGTCACAATAGAAGAAATCACTTCACCACCTCTCACACCTTTATCTCTGGTGACAAGACTTCCGGTATCAACAATTTCATAACCGATTGATTCAGTTACAAAAAAAAAGGTAAGTGGTTGTTGCTAAGAGCCTAAGACCACTTTTTTTTGTTCCATGTTCCAAAGGTAGCTTTTTCAATTGTTTAATATTTTCTACATTTTTCCTCATTTAGCTCATTTAGAAATGTGTGTAACAATTAGTTTAGATTGAATTTTTGCATGAAAAGCATGTGAGTTTGTTAGACATATCAGTCTTATTCTCTTGCTACAGATTTCTTTCCTTGGAATTATAGGAAAAAACATCTTATCTGTTTTGAGGTGGTGCATAATACTCTGATATGATGCCACCGCCTTCTTTGTTATGCAATAGGATCTAAGATCCCTACCCTTCTATAAAAGTCTTAATAACCATTAGATAATGGTTTCTTACTTTTTTTTAGTGTACATCCAAGATTTTCTTTTCTTCTTCAGGATATTTTCACTTAATTACATTCCTGCATTTCAAGTAACTTACATTATTTGGGTGTCATTGTATATTTCACTGGTTAATAAGGTTGAGTATTTTGAGAAAGTGTTGCTACAGTGTTGCTACAGTGTCGGAACGGTAACAGATGTCCGTGTACCGGAAGCCTGTCGGACCGGTACGTACCGCCCGTACCGGGCGGTACGGTCCGGTACTGCAGACCATGGGATGTATATGAAGTATCAATTAGAAAGTGACAAGAATCTCAAGTGTGGAGTAACAATAGGAAGCTCATTATATGATTTACAGGTAATGGAAGCCATTTAATACATGTCCACGCAACAGTTCAATGAGGAGGAAAGAAATATGCTAATTGCATTCTGCAGGCTGTTTGTACACAAATGAGCCTAGCTCTACATATCAGCTGCTTGAGCCACAGCTTAGATGCATGAATGCGACTTGAGATGTTAAATGAATTGAAATTCACAAACTTGCATCAGGCGAAGGGAACTTAGTAGAATTTTGTCAAAGTTGATACCGGATAGGAAATTACGGAACCAATTTGCTATTTGGATAACTTTATTGCATAAGCTTCCAATAATGATCAGCATGAAGTCATATAGTTTATATATCAACTGTTGATTGAAAGAGGTTTGATGATTCCTTTTATATTCTGATACTTACAGTGGCATGGAACCATTTGACTAATGGGACCAGTGACAATTAAAATAGACGGCATAGGTTTAAACGGATCAGCTGCATATATCTTAATCATACTGCTAATATTATGCAACGCCAAAATAGAATATTAAGAGGCTCTTTGGATCATCTTCTGTATGGTTTCTCTGCTACAAGGCCTCTATCACTATAGATTGCTAGATTTAAGCACACACATCACACAGAATGGAAAAAAAAAAGGAAGATGGTTTCTCACTGGTTTAAGAAAAAGAGGCACACATGCAATAAAAGATGATAGTAACTGAAGTACATGTGGCGAAGATTGATGGATAGCTTCAATTGAATGCGAGGATGTTGTTGTCCTCGGGCACATGCACAAGCCTCACCCGAGGCAGGTGGATTATAGTAGCAGATGCCTTAGCTGCAGACCTACAAGATTTTGAATAACTAAGTTTCTAGTATGCAACTGAGCTCTTCATATTTTTTGTAAGATATGCTTAAATCAAAAATTGGTTTGACAATACTAGACTAGTCAGATGATGTTATTTTACTCTTTGGTTTCAGGATACATGCGATGGAGCACTGCTGTCACCACTCATATATCTTCGTGCGGTTTGGTGTAAATTGCCTGTGCATTCCTAGGTCCTGATAAGTATAAGTTCCCTAAAATACCGTTGTTCATCATATCATAGTTCGGTATTGAGCCGACATTAACTGACGTTACTTTTCAGTCATAGCCATTTAGTTTGGACTTGTAGATAGAAAATTTTCATTTTTTTGAAGGATGACGAGTACCGATGGGTCATGCCGTCCAAAAGAATTTTGAATGTCATTTGTTTGTCCAGTATTTCATTGAAATTAATAGGTTGAAACACTTTCCTGTTTCAAATAAGTTCTTGTGATCTGTCTCTGTAAAGTTCCTGTCCTCGGTGCAGGCCATGTTTCTACTGCAGTGGATGGATTCTTTTCAATGCTATCAATGGATTCATATATCAACAGGACATCCAAAAGGACAATATGATGCCACGGGAATTTGTGATCACATACCGCAGATTAACCACTACGATATCTCCTGAGAGACATTAGAACATTAGATGTTGACAAGGACGAAAGCCAACAAACAACAATGATGAATATTCACGATTGAAGGGTTTTGGCAGAGTTTAAAACACGCAAAACAAGAGTTTCTCGAGGTTTTACTATGCATTACAATGTGTCATCTCCCAAACACTTCAAAGAAAGATCATAGCCAACAACACATTAGAAGAGCAACAGCAGTGATGAATGCAGTAACATTCCAATATTTACATTCCAACAATGAGACTAGATAGCATCTTGACATTTTAAGCTTGGGTAGAAATCATGAACCGGCCTTTTATGGTTCTGCGAGCTGACTCGATCTCAACATTTTTAAGCTTCAGTAGACTTCACAAACCGGCCTTTTACACGCTTTCTGGAGTCAGCTCTTAGCTTCCTAGACTCGTAACGAATATGCTTATCATATCTGTAGATGGAACAGATTAAGCAAATTTCAGAAAGGTAGCAAATGTACCATTGCTGTATCTTGCAAGAATATCATTGCGCAGAGAATTAAACGAACAAGGAAGAACGGAAACAAACAGTATCGGACCTGCGGTTCTTCCTTTTCTCTTTGTATCGCAACACAGCATTGCCCCTGTTTTGAGACAAGAAGTTACTGTCGGTGTCATTTTTCAGGTTGATGGGTGGTTCTCCAAAGATCTCTTTAGTTTCTCCAGCAGTTTCCGAGTCATGTGATGGATCTACAGGCCTAGCCATATCCAGTCTCTTACCATGGAAGGTGGATGACCCTTGGCTTGCTGCATTCCTTGTGTTTTTGTGCCATCTGCTGGTCACGTCCACCTTTTTCCGCTGGAAAAGGCAAGATAATGTATCTGCTCATGATATTGACACTAATACAACTTTCACTAGAGAACAACACAATGAAAATCAAGATACCTTTTACTAAATAAGAAGAACGAAAGTTTTCTTGTGCCAACTTCATACTATCAGTAGAAATTTTTATGAAGTACATAGGATAAAATGAAGGTGCTAGATCTAATAATGTATATTGCAGCCACCAGAGAATTATCCCCCATATAACAAAAAAATATAATGGAACCAACAGTGGCTAAGAAATAGTAACTAGAATTGACAAACTTCATCGATGCATGGGCATGAGATGGAAGTATCACTAAATGTGGTAAGAAATAAGTCTCCTGAACAATCCACCAATCACATGACTATTATTTTAGCGGTAAATGCAATCTGCTTGAAGGAACAAACTCGGCAACCATGGATAAGATTCTAAAATCTCATAGATAAGATGCATTTTATGTTGGCTCTGTAACTTTTCAATATTTACCACCTACAGTTAGAGGATCTTTTTTGATGTTGAACGAGCACAAATCTTTCAAATGCATTTATATCATTCTTGAGGTTTTCTGGAATGTAGCTGAGCTCACTTATCATTCATACAACTACGTCACATTATTTAGTTTTAGATGTCTTTAGTCTTCTACTTTCTAACCACTGAGAAAATTCACTCTCTCCTGGGAACTGGTTGTATATTTTTACGCTCTTCAAGTATAATGTTAGGCTATATGGTAATATAAATCCCCCATGAGATAACATAAAAACTGATAAAGATGTTGTCTAGCTGCCCCTTATCATACTTGATATCATTGCCAAAACTCAAGTTTTCTTCTACTAGTACTTTACCTAGTATCAAATGGAAAAAAAAAAAAAAGGAGTAGAATGGAAGTTCAAGATCAATCTTAAAACTCACGTAAGAAAGTATGCCTATCTAAAAAAATAAAAAAGATTAAAACAAATCAGTTCTATATCAAAAAATTCCAATGTAAGATAACAAGAGAAAACCAAGGTAATAAAACTATCTAACAGCAGATTCAATGCACATTTTAAAATCTTAAGCTCAGTAAAGTTACTAAAAGCTTGATTGCTGGAAAGATGAAGCAGGAACAATGATGAAAATCCAAACATCTAGTTTCATGCTCTATTGACAAATGTTATAGGTTGTATTGGCTGCTGTATCAGACAAAAGTTAATAGCATACCAAATACCTACTGTATCCCATATATGTTTGAAGGCCAAATATTCTTTGTATTTATTAAAAAACATATTATGAGCTACATGGAAATGCAATGATTGTATAACTTGCATTCTTAGATGTTATGTGACAAATGTTTGTTGATAAGACCTCATTTGATGAAAGACAGCTTGTGTCATATATATCTTCCAGGACATTTGTAGCTCCCAGGGAACTTTCTGTAAGAAGTTCACTGTAGCTCTTGATCATAAAACCATTACTATTTGTCCCAAATCCCACTTCAAGTGAAGAGTATTCAGACCGATTTCTAGTCCTTCCAGAATCAAAATCCCATACCTGCAAGGAAATAGATAGAGTATTTCCATTAAACTAATAAATTAACTGAACCGTGAAGACTCAGAAATGTACAAATAGGAAGGTCAAACTAAAGTGCCCTTGAAAAAAGGTAAGACTGGCAAAGATGGATTCATGTGCAAATATTAAAATAAAAAAAAGCATCTTCAGCAAGAAATCAGTATTAGAGTAATACATTTTTTCAGATTGCTACTGTCTCATCTAGACCTCGTTAAATATCTCAACAATATGTCACAGTTAATCAGAAATGCATGTAAAAATAATTTCTTTCTTACATAAACTCGTTAAACATCTCAACAGTAAGTTGCAGTTAATTAGAAATGCAAGTAGGAATTATTTCACCTCTTCTATACTAAAAAGTAGAACTTAAAGCTCTCCCAGTTGTATTGTCTTAAAATTACAGCATGCTTAATCTACATGGTACATGTTAAGTAGCACAAATGGCATATGAACTTACAAGTTAAGCCGCAAGAATATCATGTAGCCAAAAACTGCCAGTTACACAACATTGGAAACCACAGAGAATATCATGCTACTTTGTTTGATCAGTTGACCAGCTCTAAATCCAATTAGTATTAGCATAACTGATGGTTCAGCTTTGGTGTTCTTGGCAGAACTCCATCATATCCATCTTTCTTCATGAATTTTAGTGGTGAATAGTAACTTTTGCATATTTGTGTCTTTTGTTCTTTGTTTATACTCTTTTAATTCAGTCCCTCAGTGACAGTCTGATGAAAGTGCCAGCATGATGATTGAAGCCTGTTACCCTCTGCCTTAAGCACTAATGACCTTCGCAGTTCCTCCATACCAAAGGACAAATACGAAGAAGACAACAAATCATGATTTTGTTGGTCGATAGCTTTAGCGGCAAAGAAAACGAAAAAACATATTTTGGTAGCACTCTCCTTCACTAACATCAATGTTTACTGCACAAAATCTTCCTCTGTGATTTTCCACAGTCCTCCTCGGAGGCTGCCAGTTACTGGTTGATAGTACTATGCTCAATTATGTTATTGTCTTCAAAGTAATCTTAGATGCAGTAAAACATGCGATTCAGCAATTTTTCTTAATCTTAATACAGAATTCTGTTTTCTGTTCTTAGTTATATCTTCCATCAGAGAACAAGAATGAAGTGAAGAAAAGAATCCAATTTTGAGCAAAGAAAAGACCATTAGTTTCTAACCTGAGCAGCATGATCTATGTGATCATGATCCCACACCAAATTCTCTTCCTCCATTATCCGATCGCTCTCCTTGAGGGCTGCGCGCGCAGAGGGTTCCATCATGAGCAACGAGGTATAACCCATTTGCTCCGTTCCCCTTCCCTTCTCCTCCTCCTCCTCCTCGTCCTCCCGATGGTCATTCTTCTTGATCGGCGTCGTTTGCCTCCACTTGCATGACCCCTCCGATTCCCTTGCGACCAACTCCATCAGTTGCCGTAAGAGCGCTTGTCTCCCCTTCCCACCCGTCGCCGACGAACTCTTATGCCTCTTGGCGCATGGGACATACAGCTCTTGGAACGACGGATCGACGGCCGGCGTCGCATCAAGAGCGAACCAGTCATCAACAGAGGTAAATTCGGCGGGGAGGCAAGATTGGTGGATCTTGGATGCGAGATCGAAACCCCAGGCCGCAGCGAGCTCAATTGCGGGGAGGCTTCCAGAAAAGCTCTCGATAGCGGTGCGCGGGTGGGATGAGGGGCCGAAGGCGGCGTGGGTGTCGTCGTCGCAAGCGGCGCAAAGGGCGAGACCGTCGGCGGCGCAGAGGGCGACGGCCGGCGCCGCGGCGCAGCTGTCGCAGATCGGGGCGCGAGTGTGCCTCTGCGATAGGGCATTGGCGGCGTGGACGTCGGCGTCGCAGGCGAGGCAGAGCCTAGCGGCGTCGGCTCGGCAGTAGAGCACGGCAGTTGCCGCCTCGCCGCAGTGGTCACAAGGCAGCCCCTCCTTCCGCCGCCCGCCCCCTTCTACGTCTTCCACTCCCATCTCCACCGCCTGAAACCCTAACTCCCTCCCTAAGAACAGCACCGAGCTCTTCTCTTCCTCCTCTTCTCGTCTCATACCGAGAGAGACCAGCTCAAAAGCGAAGATATTAAGCGTTGCACAGAATCCTATACAAAGTTCACGGTGAACTAGACCATAGAGCACGTCTCACTCACGACCACGTAAGATAGTCATGTACCAGAACGATTACGTGGCAGAAATTTAAGCGGAGTGTAAGATGAAAGAGGGAGAGGGCGGGCGGATCTCCCACGAAGTCGTCGGTGGAAAATATCATGGCCTTTTTGGCTGAGGTGGCAGAAACGGAGAATCAAAAGAAGTCAAAAGAAAAATTGAATTACCGGAATCACCCTTCAACTTTCATTGAAATCTTTAGTCTCTGTGTTATCTACTGTTAATGGCAGTCAACTGAGGATTTGTTGACTTCCAATTGCTACATATATATTTGATGCCCAGTGGTTTCATCATTCTCAATATCACATGAGTTTTAGTATAAAAAATTATAATGATACGACCTTATATGATTAGCATTCTATGTTAATAACGGATCATATAATTTTATTTTTTTTGATTTTTTGATTAATTTTATATTGTATTTTCTTTTTTTAATGGTTCTTGATAGCTAGTTTCTTTATTCACTGCATGTTTCTGCCTGCTTAAATTATATTATCATTGGAAAGATGTTATTCTTTCAATTTTTCATAAGAATATTGTCATGGGAAATCTGATTGGATGGGTTTAGACAAGACATTGGTAGGGAATCAATGGATAATTTGGATTATTAATGATTGTTGAAATAAAAGGCTACAGTATAAATATTGATTTATATCCACATATATAATTATCATATAGAGACATATTGGGCGTATCACCAAATGCATGAACCTGTCAGTACTAGTGATGAAGATGAGCCATCGACGAGCGATGAAGAGTAAGCAGGCTTTGATGATGCTGTCTTTCGTGATTGTGATTATGAGACATGCATTTATACTGCAAGAAACAATACTTTAGTTCACATACTTAACGATGATTGGAGAATGATGGTTGGTATGTTGAAGATGACGCAGGAATACTCCCTCAATGCAGCTCTCCCAGGTGATGGCAGATGAGAAAGAACACTGGAAGCTCAGCTTGGTGGAGCTGCTGCTGTTGCTGCTCCTGTCTGTCACAATAAATGCAGTCTTTAATTGATGGCTGTGGCCTGCAAAGGCTAGGGTTCTCACAAGGCAAGCCTGGGATCATTGTTGGGGTGGGGGAACAGTGTGCTAGATTTCTGATTCCTCTTGGTTTCTGCAATCTGTGTCTTCCCCCTCTGCACAGATTCCTTTCTGCCAACCCGAGGAAAGGTTCCTTTGTCTGAAGCAATTAGATGCGAGCCATCCACTTTATTCTCTTCTCAGTCTACTAGAGATAAAGATCACCATTTCCTGACAGCCAACACCTTTATTTGTCTGCTTACTGTGTCTGCCTCACTTGTCCTTTAAGAGCATAAGAGCCATGAAATAAAACATGATGCATGATGCTGAGCTAGATTGACTGCATGATTAGCTTAGCATCCACAATACATATTTGACTTTTAGTTCATGAAGTAGTTGTCATTGTTAGATAAGATCAGCTAATGATCTTGGTTAACTATGCTCTCCGAGGCAGATTTGGTTTAGCAAGCTTTGTTTGAGCTATCAGTTTCAAGGTAAGATAAGAAAGTTGAGTTGAAGCTTGGATTAATAGTTGCATCATGGTTGAAGATAGATTTTGTCCTTGTGATGCATCATCTGAGACTGGAACAAAAATATCACCTACTTCAAATGGAGATCGGCACTGGAGAGAAGAATTGCGGCATTGTCGTTGATATCCAAGTGTAGATATCGCAGGACAAGCTGAAAAGATTTCAACTTGCTCACAAAAGTCCGATCTTGTCTTTCTGTGTTGATCCAGAATGCGAGAACAAGATCGAAGTGTGGAGCAGTTCAGACGCAGCCATAGCGGCCAAGGTGGAGGAGGCCGCCGCCGCACTTGGGGCAGGCGTCGACGCTCTTGGGGACCATGAAGTACATGAAGCAGGACCTGCAGCCGGCGGCGACGAGGATTTGGGCACCGCCGGGGTCAGCTACAGTATCAGGGGGAGAGGAAGAGGAGAGGGAGGAGAGGCAAGAGTTGGCGGTGTCGACGCTGCTTTCGTAGTCCTCGCTACCGCCTACTCTGGAGCAGCTGTCATCGGAGGAGGAGATCTCTTTGCCGGAGATGTAGCTTGATGAATATGTGGCGGCGGCGATGACAGCAGTCCGGGGGTCTTTCCTGGTCTTCGTGCCTGTCTCCAAGTTGATGTAGTAGACTTCCCCCGTCTGCCATAGAAACAGAGAAATCTCAGCAAATGTGCTTTCGATCGAGGAAAGAAGCAGATGCTGATGAGATCAATCAATCCAACGACAACACAAGAAGACGGGATCGTAATGAGAAAAGGTTGCTGTAGTATCGATCAAAAGACGAGAGAAACTATTCTATTTGCTGTCAAAAACGTCACCTTTTTCTTCTCTTCCTCTTTCCCTCAGATCAAAGGAACAGTCTTTTTAGGCGGAGCACGGAAAGGAAGGATCTTTCCGCCGGAAACGATGGCGAAACGGCGTTTGGGGGACGTGAGTTGGTGCATTTATGATCAATGATTGCCGAAGAGAGAGAAAGAGGAGGAGTAGGAGGAGGTGGAGCATTAAAGGAGGATCCCCGTACCCGCATGTCAAGACGCTGCTCCCACCGGTAAGGAAGCGCCGTGTCGGAGTTGAGCTCCACCATGACTTCTCCCGAGCTCTCATCGCTCGCCTCCAAGAGATGCGCGGCCACCAACGGCGCCGGCGTCAGCGGCAGCGTAGCCACCCCTCCGCTTCTCCCGATGCTGCAGCTCCTGAGCGACGCAGCGATCATCTGGATGTTGGGAGCCGTCATGGCCTGAAGCAAAACGGAGAAGGGGAAGCGAGACAGAAAGACAGAGAAGAGAGCCGATTCAGTACTGGAAGATAGCCGGTTTTAAACGCGATCATCCCAATATATTCTACGAGCAAATCAAGAACAGTGGCTTCATCGAGGACTGGGCGTAGCTTTGGTGCTTCAGGAGAAGTATAAGCAAAGCATACATGGGGGAGTTGGAAGGACAAATACCAACAATTGAGATGACTTCTTTGCAGTGTCTTTGCTGTGTATGATGCAGCTTTGACTGCTACGGCAAAGAATGTTGACAAAAAGAGAGATCAATCAAGACCGGATTTTGACTTTGTTGACCATGAAGAGCTCGTTGGGGTAGAGAAGACTTCTACTAGGGAGGGGGTGGGTGCTTAGTTTTGTATGAAAGCTACAGGGGACAGTGGTGGAATCTTTGCAGTGGCAACAGTCCATGGAATAGGAGACAGTGGTGCATGAGCCTTGGAAAGAACAAACAATGGTGTGTTTTGGTGGTCACCTTGAAGAGGATGACTCCAATGGGGTGGCCTGATGGCCTCAGATTGATGTATGCAGCTCATTGGTTCTGCTTTGCCTCAAATCAAACTATCCTTTTTCTTTCCCCCCATCAAGTTGGATGCTGTCTTGAGACAGAGAGAGAGAGAGAGAGTAATACTCTTGATTAGTCCACATCAAAAGTGGATAAAATTAAGATTGACTTATAAGAATCTGATGAATGTATTATTATTAACTTCAGCTTAAATATTTTGATCAGTGGTTTAGACCAAACGAAATTGATAGACTAGTTAGCTCATCAGGTCGTGACATTTGGTATCAAAGCCAAGCATTTGGGCATAGTGAGAGGGCTCGATTTGATCCTTCTATTTTTTTAATTATTTATAATTAATTATTAAAAAAATTAAATATTGATTTAAAAATAAGTCAATATTACTCTTAACATATTTTTTGGTGTGAGATTGAATCAATCAAGATTATATAATAAAAAATATTTTGATAGGGGATGCCAATATTATTATCTATCATAAGGACAAAGATGAATTAAACAGCAAAGTTCAGATTGATCATTTCTTTAGGGAAGAATAAGACAAACAAAGTGGTACAATTAAATGACAAGTTAGCAGTTTACAGCTCATCGGGCAACAAATGTTCAAAGCTAGATTTGTCCTCTTTCTCTATGATGGGGTTAGTTGATGCCCATTGAGCGAGACGGAGGTCAGCGAAAGGCACACGTGTGCAGGACAAAAAATTTCTTTGTCCTAATTAGTGATTGGGTATATTATAATATTCATTTATCAAATATTATAATTATTTTTTATCAAGATATATAAATTAATTAATGATAAAAAAAATATAATATCGATTAATTATTGTCTGATACGTAATCGTCACATAGTGTCTAAAAAAAAAAAAAAATACATCATCCCATGATGCATAAACAAAGATCCAAAGTAAACGATCATAAGCTTCCAGCTATTTAGGACAAAGAAAAATAATCGTAAATACTCATCTTTAATATTATAAAAAGATATAGACTTATCTTTTTATAAAAAGTGCGCGTACTCTTATCTTAAATTATTAATTTAAATATTGAAGAGATCAACTTAAAAAATCTCTTTTGATCGTAGTCTTCGTTTAGGTTGCACCTTAGAAGTTTAATATTTCTATGTCGAAGACATCTCGATGATTCTAGATTTTTTTATTATAAACAATATGGTTTAAATGCATATGTGAGTGATGATATAATGATTTTTTATTTTTTTAATGAATGAAATAATAAAATCGAGATTTTTTTTACTCTCCCATTCTCTTTCATTCGATTAATATATTGAGTGACTATCGTATTAAAATAAAAAATATATTCTTTTAATGGTTTCAATACCAAAAATCTCTCCTAAAAATCATATTGAGCAAACAATAATAATAACAAAATAGTAAAGTTCAAATTATTCAAGTCACTTATATGAATTATTTACCAACATCGAGTTACATTAAAAAATTAATTAAATTAAAATTATTTAAATCTTTAATCATAATTTCCAATAAAATTTTCTTATATCATCCATCCTCTTCTCTGATAGTACCATTGATATTAATATTAATAGTTTCTTACATTACTTCACCACTTATTATGTGACAATTATAATATATGATTTTGGTAATATTACCATGTTAAGCATGGTTACATTAATTCACCCAATTCAACTTGACCTAATACCTATTAGATTCGGGTTAGACTCAAGTCAACATGAACTTATCGGATAAACCCCTAATATATAAAAATAAATAATTAATTAACCTTGTTCATTAATTAATGTAGTGGATCAACAAGATGATAGTTGATTACCAAAGTGAGATTTCCATTGCTGATGGGTTCCAAATAAGAGCAAATTATGATTCCACTAAATGCAAGCATTTTCTCTCTAATTCTATTTTTACATCCACAATCACCATTTGGTGATTGTGATTGTGACCTTGACTTATGTCCCGTTTATCGTGGGCGATAAACTTTGGATTAGGTTTGACTAATTATGAGTTCAAAGTGGAGGAAGTAATTACGTCGAATAAGATTTCAAAATCCGATCATGTAAGTTAACAAGAGAGCCCAATACAACAAACGGAGATTAACACTATCATCAAAAAGGGTTATGATGTAAGTCAACCGCTCTATGTCTCAGGTTAAAATGTAGAACAGATAAAAACTAGGATGATTTTATGTTTTATATTTTATATTTTTATTTTTTTGTTTAGTATCTCTCTCATATTTTAATACCTTAAATATTTTTATCTTTCTATCACGTCATTTTAATCTTATCGATAAGACGAAAACAATCATAACGAAACAAAAATGATGTAACGAAAATAATCACATCAGGGTGAAAGTGACGATCGACAATACGATAAAAGAGATAACGATAACCAAAGACATTTAAGATATTAATTTTGTATATACTTTTTTATTTGATATTTATAATATTCGTATCCATAATGCGATTCTTTTAATTTGATTTTTTAGTCTAATTTAATGTGCCAAACCTAATCTGAGTCACAGGTGAGATGAGACGTATGGGTTTAATGGCCCACTTTCGTATTATTGATATGATATGTCTTCGAGTCGCAATAAAAGATTGCGAATGACGTAAGCGTTGTGGTCATCATGCGATCATAATAACATAAATATCATCAGATCAATAGAAAATAGAAAGGGCTGCTTACGCCCGGTAAATGTAACCTCCCACCGTTCCCTCCATCCTCGATTCCTTGACCACCTCCAAATCCAACTCCACGTTCAAATCTCTCTCTCTCTCTCTCTCTCTCTCTGAGAGGTAGAAGACGCCATGGACGGCCATTCTCCCACGATTTAAACCTCGCCTTCCTCTTTCCTTTGCTGTCGATCTCGCCCGTTCCCCCTTGCAGCCTCTTTTGTAATCAGGTTCCCCTTAGATCTCTCTCTCTTGGGTGGGTGTGCGGGACACAGAGTGGGATCGGGGAGGCGGAAGGCGGCGGCGGCAGAAAGATGGTGAGGTTGCCGTATCTGACCGCCCTGACCACCCTCTTCAGCTACGGTCTCCTCTTCGCCTTCGGCCAGCTCAGGGATTTCTTCCGGAAGATCATCGATTGGTTCAAATCCTCCTCCAAGGACCTCAAGGTCCCCCCTTTATTGCTTCTAATTCGCTCGCTTTTGCTTCTCGTCTCGCTTTTTTCTTTTTTTTTTGTCGGATCCTTAAAAGGGAATTTTTGTTGTCGCGTGGAACAGGGGTATGCGCCGATCTGCTTAGGGCTCGAAGATTTTTATACCCGTCGCCTCTATCTCCGCATTCAGGTTTGTTCTTTTTGGAATCCTGTTGTCAGTTTTTTCTCCAAAATTCCATTTTTTGGGTTCGTTTTCTCCTTATTTCATGACTTGCATTTTGGTTATCACGTAAAACGAACAAGCCTTTTTCTTTGATTTTAGTAACAAAAGGATTCTGGAAATTCCACATATTCGTGGTATTTTTTCCCAGAGAAAATTGGGATGTATGTTTATAAATATTTTCAGATCTCTTGATTTCCTTGTTACTTCTGGTGAAGAATCATGGCTGCTCATTCTTGACCTATCATTATGTGTTGTTGTGTACCTACTAGGGCTTTCTTACCTTTTTCATTTTCACATATTCTTATCATGGGAACCTTCGGTTTCTAGGTAGTATAATATAGAAGAAACGTCTTTGGTATCTTTTTCAACCTCGATCGAGGAAATTGGTCTCATACTTGGGATTAGGATACGAAATACTTGACCTTTAATGTGAGTTTTTATAATTGGCATAGCCACAATGATCAATTTTTAATTACAATGAAATTATGCAAATACCGTGAGTCTGATATGCTATTAATTATGATTTCAGAATGAGAATGATCATTAGGGCTGCAAGGACATGATGACATAAGTACAATGATCGTACATGTACATTTACGAAATGTATACAGGTGCTTCTATTATGTTAGTGTGTTGTGTATCTTATGATGACAAGCATTCTGATACGGCAGGACTGTTTTAGCCGGCCAATTGCCAGTGCACCGGATGCTTGGATCGATGTTGTTGAACGATACTCTAATGACAATAACAAGACATTGCAGTAAGTACTTTTCATATGTTTCTTTTCAGATACATGACCTTTTGATATATACCACAGCCGTGTTTCTGAGACATGAAAATGTAGTCTATAACTGTGGATAATGAAAGTTGTGAATTGTGACCCTGCTGATTGTAATACAAGCTGAGCTAATTTATGGATAATGAATCATGAAGTGCGTGATCCTGGATTGTTATTTAACATTTACCGAAGTCCTTTGAAGTTGTTGAGGAATTCTTTTAACTGTTTCTACTAATCTTTGCAGTCGGACCTCGAACACTACCAGGTGCCTTAATCTGGGATCATATAACTACCTTGGTTTTGCAGCAGCTGATGAATACTGCACACCCCATGTTATTGATTCTTTGAAGAAATACTCTTGCAGCACCTGCAGTGTCCGTGTAGATGGTGGTATGTATTTTCTGCTCACTATATTACAAACAAAAGACTAATGAATGTGGAATCAATCTGATTTTTCTTCATTTTGGTCAGGCACGACTGACCTACATACCGAGCTGGAGGAGCTGGTTGCAAGGTTTGTGGGAAAACCAGCTGCTATAACTTTTGGCATGGGTTATGTGACAAACTCTGCCATTATTCCTGTGCTGATTGGGAAGGTTTGTA